CACCCCGCGAGAGCGAGGATCCCGTCATGTCGGAGTCGACGATATTGTGAAACGTGATCGATCTCGCGCCGGCTCGAAGCTGACCGTCCACTTCATGACATCACGTCAACAAGGACTGCGTTCAGCAACTTCACCCGAAGTGCATCCGTGTATGTATCATTTTGTCCTTGTTGTTCACAGAATATATGTTAAACGAGGGATCTCTTTTCTGTAGCTGAGTTATACATAAAAAACAGGATCTCTGTAGTGTACGCTTCTGGAATTTAAAATAGGTATGTTTGCTATTGCTATTTGGCGAAAACGAGAAAGTTTAGAGTGCAGGAATAAAAAACAGAACTAAGGTTATGATACATGGATAGGTACATCTATATATTCTATTCAACAAGAGATTTTTTTCCCTTCGCGTGGAGATTTTCAAATAAGAGATTCGACACCGTTTAGACAACCAGATTTTTCAGATCTGCCTTAAGATAGAATAAGATGGATATTTTGTTTTATCTTACACATAATATATTTTGTTTTATCTAAGCAGGTCCCGAAAAATATGATGGATCAAATGTACGATGTTCATTCTTGTATTTGAGAATCTCTATTTTTACACAGAAATCTGTATCGCACACATAAGAAGCGCGCAAAGTGGAATATCAAAATTATTTTACCCGCTCAATTTTCTAAATCTAGACCTGAATGTGTTGTATTTATGTATGCAATATATCTTCACTTTAAATCTGTCGCTGAACAGAATATAGGTCAAGTTTTTACAGAAAAATATTCAATTATTAAGAAAACCGAAAATTACTCGATTTACTTTCTTTTATATGTATAAGATTATACAGTTTATCTTTAATAAAAAATACTTTCTTGATAATATATTTAAAATATATATTTATCGCAAATTATAGGAAAACTCATTATGAACTCAAAATAAGAATTAATTTTTTTAAGAACATTACAAAATTGATCGAAGAAACAATTTTATATAATAAACAAATTGAATTCATCTTATTTAAAAATCTTGGTTGAAGTATTGACTCTTTGCATTGAACGCACTTTTTCTAAGGAAGATAAAATCTTATCACAAAGCTTATGCTTCCTAGAAGGAACATTATACTCCAATGATTATACCTGTGTCGATAGTGCAATCGAAACTTTGAAGTTCGCCCAGATTAGACATAAACTTTGTTTTCTGTGGGTGAACTAGTGTACACTTTCGGAACTTAAAGTGAGATAGTTCGATGTTTTTGAAATCCAGAAGGAGAGTTCTAGTACAGTCTAATGCAGGAACAAAAAACAGACAAAAACAAATCATTCTGTCTGTCTCCACTCAAGTTGCTACATCAAAGCAAGATACGACTGATAGTAGTGATAGTGTATTTCTATTCGGTTTATTGACTCAACTCCAGTCGACAGTCTGCCTTTTTATAGTTGTATTTCTTGCACAGTTTAGCTCTTCTTTAGCAGCTAAACAGAACAGACCATTAACTCGGAGCCGGGTCAAGTCGGTAAATCGTACACGCTATAAGAGTCGCCATTCGAATGTAAAGAGTTAAATTTCCTAGGGCATTCAGAACATATCTTAAATGAACTTAATATTATTGGTGATGAATTTATATGAAGATAGTTTTGCGGATATATGAACTTTTGAAGTACTTGAAACAACTGATTATTATTTACGTACAATATACATTTTTCTGTGCGAACACACCCAAAGGTGTAAAATTCACGGACGCGCACACAGCTGATGCGAACAGGTAAAGTTAGGTAACGAATACGAGACGGGTAGCATGCTCGACCATTAAAGGCGCGAACGCCGCGATACGTGAGAGAGCTCCTCGCCGCGAGCCGCTCCAGGCAACGGCGAGGAATATAATCGACGTCGCGACGACGGCGGCGTGCGATAAAAGCATGAATCTAGGAAAGCGACGACTCACCGAAAACGCCTAGCGTCGACCGTCGACCGTCGTCCGCCCTCTCCCGGGCCGCTCGTCACCGCACACACCTGACACCCTTGGGGCTGAGTCGTCACGTTGCGTCACCGTTGTCGGACGCCTTCCACCTCGTCGCTCCCTTACGTCCACACATATCACGCGTCACGTCAAAAGTCACGAACGCGCACAACAAAGTCTACGACCATCCACGGACACACATACGCAAGATGGTGGACCGCTGGGGTCACGTGGCTCACCGGCGTTAACTGTCACCGGCGAAAAAGATACCCGCGGCGACATCTGTCGGCTACCGCTCGAGTTGGTCACATTCGAAACTTGGCACGAACGTCGCACGGAAAGTTCACTTGAGAAACTCTCGCACACTCGCGTCACCGCGACTGTATTACAGTATTAATCGTGATAAATGATCGCATCCGAAGGCGAATGTTTTTGTTATAGATGAAATAGATGTATTTCTAGGATGTTTTTTTAATAACAAAAAAGTTTTCAGATCAAACAGATTCAACGCGAACACACTCTTTCACGAGAACACTTTCGTATACTATCGAAAATGGGCAATCGTGATTAAAATCACATGAATATCGAGTTAGTCTCGCTATTTTTCAAAGAAAATAACGGCCAAGATAATTTTAATCAATTCCGAACCGCGGTAGAGGTCTTTTTGAATTTTTGTTTACGATCGCACGGAGCTCACTTGAGAAACTGTCGTTTCATTCACGCCACTAAACTGTATTATTCACGATAAATGCATCCAAAACTATCTTTTCTGTTATAAACGAAATAAATACGTGTTTAGAGTCAAAATCATAAAAAATTCCACGTCAAACAGGTTTAAGATACAAAAAATCTGTTACTGCGATGCTGACTCTTGATACCGAATCGCGCAGAGAAGCGGCTTGTCGGTACAGAAATCGCTGTACAGACACACAATACTATTCCTACGCAGCGTTCAATGTGTTGCACGACAACTCCACGCACACAAGATTATTCACTTTAGATCGAAAACGATTGCGAAAAATACGGAGCGACTCGGAGCGCAGTCATGATCCGCCATGACGCACGATGAACTACTTGCGCGCCTTGAAATTTTGAAACTATCGAAACGGTAGACCAATCAGAGCGCGGCAATATAGTTACAGCTATACATTATTAAATTATTTTATTCTTGTTGTTCATCAACATTTAATAAGAATAAAATAGACAATATATATATATATATATATATATGTGTGTGTGTATGAGAGTGAGATAGATAATAGATGTATCTCTGAAGAGGAAAAAATAAGGATTTTTGTTGCAAAAAGTACAGCTAAATGTAACTGCTATTTAAATGAGACAAAGTTAAGAATAGAGGAATACGAGTCTAATATTTTTAAATATATGGCATTTTTTTAATTGTCAAATATTCTCTGATCTTAAAAAAACTTGATATTACGATATAATGAGTGTCATATGCACAGAACTCTGCATTTTTATAATTTGTTTTATTAATATATAATAATACAATTAAAGTTCGAATTAAAGTTTCGCAATTTAATCCTGCAATTTTTTTTATTTGGCGCGCTTGGATTGTTGGTTCTCGCTTTAGCTGCTTGTCTTGTTTTGAAAGGTTGTTAATGCACGAATATTATTCTTCTATTTTGATCGATTTCAATCGATTAGTTATAATCTCCTCTATTAAAAATAATTATTTCGAACCTTCTTGTGGTTCGCCGGCATTACAATTTTCTGTGTTCAGGGTTGTAATAATATATCACCTAAGTTATGTAATTCAAACAATGCCTTTATATGGTATATATACATTATACAGTCAAATATTAACAAATATCAAAACGTATATACAAGTAAAAATTAGTTTAATAGAATAAAAATATATATTTGTACAAATTTTAATAAGAATATATATAGAACTTTCTTATATACTTTTTCAATAATAATTTATAAGTGTCAGTCTTGTTTAGACGTTTTCACTTGTTATAATCACTTATTATATTTTTACAGTTTTGTCGTGACAGTGTTTAATCATCAGCAGTGATTTTAATAATTTTATACCTTTTATCTGTTTCAACATTATATGTTAAATTTATAAAATAATTTTTATAAACTGTTAAATTTATAAAATAATTTTTATAAACTGTTAAATTTATAAAAGTACACTGTAGTTTTTATTGTATATAAATTATGGCCTAAATGTTTATATTATATTGTAAAAATAGTATCAACTAGTACAAATGTGTTGAAAATTATTGATTACAATCTACCTAATGCTACAAACACTTTGAAGCATCCGTTATTATTATTTAGTATCAGATCTATTTTCAATTTCTCAATACTAAAAGATTATTTCCAATTGATTAAAAGAAAATCTGCTAATATGCTTTAAATAATTATTTATAAAATAATTCCTACCTATCTACTACACCAGAGAGACCAACAGCAGTATTTTAAACTGCAACTACACTTTAATAATAATATCTATGATATTATATTACACTCAATAGCAAAATTAAAGCCTCACTTATCCTGCCCTCTAAAAATAAACAAATTTTAAAAGAGTGTAACTTCGTCAAAAATGATTGTAAAAAAATTTGTAAAAAAGCAAAATGTCTGAAGTTTAAAATCTCTATTTTTAAAAATGATAATTGATATTTCGGTTTAATTAATTCTTTACGAAATTATGACAATGAGAGTGCGTCAAATCTTAAAAATTTGACGCACTTTCATTTATGTTAGCATTATCAAAATATATCAATTATCATTGTCGAAAGATTTCAGACTTTAGAATGCTTTTTTACAATTTTTTTGCAATCATTTTTGACGAAGTTACTCTTTTGAAATTTGCTTATTTTTGGGAGACAGGATAAGTGATGCTTTATTTTTACTGTTAAGTGTATATTCCTTAAAATTTCAAATCATCACAAGATCATTATCACAAGATCATTTGTATTAATTATAATAGCAAATTACTACAGTGATTATTCTTTAAATAATTGAAAAAGTTAATAAATAGGTCTCTAATAGAGAATAGAGATATCTCAATTGTCATTTTAAAATCCAGTTAAGATTTAATATTGATATTTCCAAGTATATATATAAAATTAGCTTTTTTTGGTGCTCTTTGGACAGAAATATTGTCTACGTTATTTTATACCGAGACTTTACCGTGTCTCCTACTATCATTCTTTAAAATGACAATACAACAATAATTGTCACCATTAATTCTGGTTGGTCTGTGAACTAACTTCTCTACATCGAAGTGTTGCTGCCTCTATAGCGTTGATTAATGCTGATCTTAAGCCATGCTTCTCTAATTGATGAATAGCAGTTATGGTCGAACCTGCAAATGAAAAAAATATATATTGTGACTGAAAAAAATAAGGATTTTAATTAATATAAGTAAATTCTAACCTGCTGGTGAAGCAACGTAATCCTTGAGTTGTGCTGGATGAAGATTTGTCTCGCGAACCATTGTACCGGCGCCTAAGACAGTTTGCGCAGCAAGCTTATATGCAATAGGCCTAGTAAGTCCCATTTTAACTCCACCATCGGCCATTGCTTCGATTATCATATATATCTAAAGAAATTTTCATTTCTCATTATTTATAATACTAATCATTTTCTTAAAGATGAAAAAAGACTTGATAATTTACATATAAAAGATAGATTAATGACGCGAATTAATTATACGACCTCAAGAAACCTGTGTTAAAATATAAAACTATCACTTTTCGTTCTTCTATTTTCTAAATTTAATAGTAATAATTATTTATAAGAACATAAAACACACACACTGCAAATTGTTCACACTAACTAAAAAAAATAAAGTAAAAAATTTTAATTGGAATGTTTGCATACATAGGCAGGACCGGAACCGGCCAAAGCAGTTACAGGATCGATAAAATTTTCCGGTACTTCTTCACAAATGCCTACGGCGGAAAATAGCTTTTCTGCAATCTCGGCATCCTTGTCACTCGCGTATTTTCCACGTGCAAATACCGTAGCACCGCAGCCAACTAATGCAGGTGTATTTGGCATTACTCTTATCACGGGCGTTTCTTTTGGCAGCGCCTGAAAATATTTTTCCTATAGTATGACAACGTTGTTCTTCTTTTTTCTTTTACGAACAACTTGTATCGTGAGTTACAATGAATTAACGAATTTTTGTTAGATCATAGAGACGTGTTACCTTTTCTAATGACGCCAGAGAGATACCCATGGCGATGGAAAGAAGTAACTTCTTGTTGTCGTGTACCCGAAACTCTGATAATACTTTTGGTACAACTTGCGGCTTTACCGAAAGAATTAGCACGTCACCATGATCGATGACAGGTATATTCGTAAAAACAGTATTTGATCTCATTTCCTGAAAACGTTCAATATAGATTTTTAATACATTTAATAACACATTTGACAGTGCGGTACTTACTATCTCAAAATTTAAATTTTCTTTATCAAAGTTTGATTAAATGTTATTTTTTTCGTATAATTTTATCGTCGTATTACGTACAGTTTTATCTTGATAATCACCTTAAGACGTTAATGATATCATCTATCAAAATATATGACTACTATCAGTCTATATATTCTTTCACGCATACATATTTGATATGTTTGATATAATCTAATTGTAAGTATTGTATAAACTAGTAAAAATATAAGGTGTTTTCACTTATGTAAAATCACTGCGATTTTTCTCAGGGCATTCTGAGTTAAACACAAAGTAACACATGTTGTTTTGTAACAATGTTTTTTTGTTTTGTAGTATGCTTCCCAGTGAGAAATGACAATGAAATCGACGTCGAATCGACATCAATTCTATGTCGATTCCATTGTCATTTCTCACTAGGCTTCTAATTAAATTCTTGTATTTTTTTACTAAATGACATTGTTTATTTACCAATGTTTTCAAATTTAACGATTAATCTTTGGCTCGTAGCCCTTTCCTTTTTCGATATTTTTTAATTTATTGAACCTTATTACTAAAATATAAATTAATATATGCATGATCAAAACATAGAAATTGTAAAACTATATATATATATGTATATCTTGTCGTGATGATTTATTAACCCTATTAGTCTGATTTATAATTTTTATTTTTCTGTTATATTATTTTTATACGGTGAGCGTTCTGGCATTTAATAACTTTATTTTATAGCTTAAACATATTAATTTGACTAAAAAAGTATTAACAATTTTTTCGTTCTTTTTCTAAAATGCTTAGATGTTACATATACAAATGTTTATTATTTATCTTTAAATTTCCAGTAAAAATGTAACTCTGATGTTTTGTTGGTATGTCTTTGAAAATATGTAAAATAATAAGTCATATTACCTCAAGCAGTAACAAATGTATAGTAAATTCGAACAATCCAGCAGAGTTAAACAAATATTAAACAAATATTAAAAGAAATCATCTCACTAAAAATTTAATCAATTAAAGCAACATAATTATAATTCATCATTGTTTTAATATTTGACTTTTGATCATAACATGTAAATTAAGTTAATTATCGGTCATCAAAGTCTCGCAAAATATTGTGGTATAAAACGCGAATATTCTTTTCCTCTTTGTTAAATGTTTTTAATATAAGATATCACAAACAATTTACATCACCAATTATTACCGCGCATTCATTACGATGAGAAATCGCTCTTTATCACCGGCGGTATTCTTATCAAACAACATATTATGAACAAAAAGCATTCTTCGATCTATTATCTATCGGAATCTTTTTTATATGATAAACCGTTTATCATCTCACCTTAAAAGTTTCAATACTGTCGGTATCATTTGGAAGACAACTAGCCAGTATCATTTCGCCTTTGCTTAAACCTGTAAAAAAAAAGAGATCTTGTGGAAAAAAGAAAAACATTCCGAAATGTTTACAATGAACTTTGTTGATCAAAGCAATATATAACTGATAGGTGTAAATCGTTAAAACGTGTAACATTAAATGAAAAAAGTGATGTCATTAAAAAATACACACACATACACAAAAAAAAACTATTTACCCGCTCGTATAAAACCTTTAGCAAGCGCTTGGGCCATTTTTCCCCCGCCAAGGAAACCGATTTTCAACATATTGGTATCGATGTTCAGTGGTATCTTTCGTTTCTTCACCTCACCGTCTGCGAGATGCTGATCAGTCACTGCAAAATACAGACGAAAAACCATTACAATTTCGTTCCACAACAAAAGGAAAGTAAAACACGTAGATTGTTCTACAATACGCGAAAATCGTACATTATTCGTTCCGACGTACGAACAAAGATTATTTAAGTCGTTCTACTTCTCTGCATTTCGCAGCGATCAACAGTCGTGTTTGTTGCTTTGGAATGCTGATATGAACGCGATAAAATAGCAACTAAAGCTCATAATTTTTTACATTGTCGAGGTCAATCTCTGTTCAAACACACTATTCACATCTCGCGCTATCGTATCACTTTCTATATTTCTATCGCGCATTATTTCTCGTCGCTTTCTGCCACGAGGATGGTCTGTACTTTTATGTAATCTTACGGGAGATAACAGCAATTGTATGTGTCTTATGTTGTCTAACTCGGAAAACGCGCAATTGACCGCAATTGACCGCTTTGACCACCAAACTTGTTTTGTCGTTCAGATTGATTTGTAGTACAGCTCAAATATAAAAAAACGTTAAATCAGCCTCTATGTGTCTCATAAACATTTACGATCTTTTTATGGACGTTCTGATTAAATAAATATTATCGTTTGATTATTCTCTGCATGATATAGTAATAATGTAAAGTACGCTATCATAATGGCATTAAGGAATATAAAACATAACGGTATCAAGCAAATGTATGTACCTTTATTAATAAAAATTATAAGAGATTATTGGAAAAAACAATAAAAAAAGCACTGAAAAAAAAACTGGGTGTATATATGCTATACTCAGAAGTAGCGCACCGAAAGATTAAAGGGTAAAAATGATTTCATTATAAAAAACAAAAATACATTTACAAAAGACGTCTACTCACCATACTTGCGCATGTTTAAACTTTGTCGAACACGACTTAATTTCATAAAACCCATTGTTCTCAAACTGACAGTCATCTTCATAATTGTTTAGCAATTAATGTAACAAAATTCGTCTTAATTAAAAATTAAGAATCAGAAATCTTCGTTTTTTTTTTCATTTAATCATTTTTTTCTTAGAATCATACATATATATTATATACAGGATCTGGAAAGAGAAGTGTAATAAAGATGTATTATTAATAATTAAGTTTAAATTATTTAATTGTGTTAACAACAAAGCATCAATTATAATGAAAACATTTAAATACAAATTTAATTATTGATATGCAATGTTTCTCGCTGCATTAATAATGAAGTATAAATGAAATATCTATTATATGAATATATATATATATATAACGAAATTACAATAAATAATATTATAAAAATATAATAAATATCTCTATGTAATGTTCCTTATTATTGATGCTATAAATACGAATATGAGTATTTCTCAAAATTAATTACAAATTTAATTCAGTCTTGCATTTGATATTCTCGATTGCATCTAATTAACAGCCGAGAAAACATATCATATAGTAGGTAATGCTTTTAAGGAACAACAATACAACAGGAATTAAATATATATAAATTTTTCTTACGCATCCAGTGCAATACTGATAATGATAAAGTAACTGATGAGGTACCGCTGATAAAAATTGATTGACAATCAGGTATAATTTATTCGATCGTAATCTAGTAATACCGTAATACAAATAGCCTCTGTTCTTTCATTACTGTATGTATATTCAATTTCGATCATCCTTATATATATGTTTTAAGGTATACAGGCCTATCTTTGTCATGGAAAACTACGTACCTGTTATCCAAGCATCTAATCAAAAAATAAGAGATTCCTCCCCACTTGCATTTTCATCGTCGCTGACTCTTATATCTCTTTTTAGATGATCCACCTAAAAACAAAAAATAATAAGTAATGGATTTGTAATAGAGCTAGATTTGAGAAAAACTTACGACTTCTATAAGACTCTAGCGCATCGAGATTTTTTAGCGTTTCTGGACTTTTTTTTAAACACGTATATCTCGGAACTCCTTCTATCGACTTTTATAAATTATGAACCTGTTCTTTAATCAATTCTCCATCGATTGAAAATAAATTAATTAAAATGTGTAAATTTTTACTGAAATGATACGATAAATATGGATAAAGTCTCCAGTATTCCAATGTATATTTTATGTACACAAAAAAGAAGTGTGTATATTTAAGCTTAAATCAGAATATACATTTTTCTAACATTGTTAATATACCTATAATTTTAATTCTAATATTATTTTTTCTAATAATATTTTATTGCTCATATATTCAGTCAACACCAATTAAAAGATATATATACATCTACATTATTATAATTTCACACTGAATAATTTATTTGTTTATTTCTATCAGTATAGATTAACTTCTCTTTATTCAACTTTAATTAAAATTAAACTATATTGATAAAAAACGGACAGTAGTACTTAACACAAATCGACATATGATATCATTTTATGAATGCTCTTCATTTAATAACATAAAGTTAATACAAGTATGATTATTTTATTTTTCTTGACATTCAGTGGAATAACTAAAATAGAACGACTTATGTCATTAAGACCAGTTTCACAACTCACGGTTAATTCTTAACCAAGATTCAACTTATGTGCCTCATATTTTTCCAATTTTAGAATTGAAAAAAGAAATGAAAAATAATTGAACCTGGAACTGAGCTTATAAATGGACAGCGTCTAATCTTTCTTAGCATCCTTAGAGTAACAAAGATAAAACTTGCGTCACTTTGTGTCACCAAACAGAAAGCACTCCACACTCCAATAGTCCATCAAGAAAAATTATGGAATCAGTAGGTATTGCAGCAATAAATTTTTTTATTTTTAAATTTTCATGACCTGTATTATCGACGTTTTCAACGAATGTGTTGCGTACAGAATGTATAGATGACGTTACAGATATCACTTGGAGTGAGAAGTCACCACAAAAAGAAACTTATGATAATTCAATTTTTATCTTATTATAGTGTGCCTTCCAACAAAAACGACACAGTACGACACGGTGATCATCTCATCTTTGTTTAACATTGGCGAACAACAAGGACGTACTGATACCAGTGTATCACAGTTGTCACACCCTGTCATCTATGTCGCTTGTTGGAAGGCATCCTTGGACGCGATTATGCGAAGAAAACGCTTATATTGCAAATAACGATTGTAGTCTTTAAATCGTTTATATATTTACGATTTAACAAACAGCCTTATAACGACCTAGTGCTTTAAAACTGTATTTACAACAAAAGATTATATATCAAATATATCGGGAAACTATATAATAATAGAGATTTCTTTATCAAATCCGATTTGAACTCTACATCTTCGTTTTATTTCAAGTTTTTTTTGTAATAAAAACTGCACATTCCTCGCCACAGTTCGAGAATCATGTAATCCACAAATGTGTGTTTCTCGCACACGAATATTTTCCGTTACACTCATTAAGCAGCTCTTTTCCCGTAACTGTTTCTCAGTCTAGATAACTATGAGATAACTAGGATCTTGGAGTCTTGAAACTCAAGTTGTTGATGGAACGTATAAAATCGTCGAATGTAAAGAAAACTCGTTTCGTTCAACGGAGGAATAAATTGTGATAAATTGTATAAAAATAAAAAAGTTTAAATATTATATGTAGAATTAACTCATATCTTCCGTTCGCTGTTCTTTCTTTTATCGATCGTCATTGTTTATACATCGTCAGCAATTACAAAATACGTACAATAAAGACACTCTGTAAAACGAACGAAACTCGCGCAAAGTCGGAGCTCGAGGCAAGACAGTTTCTTCTCTGAAAAACAAATTGCGTTCTGTTTCTTGTCTCTTTTTCCGATGTGTGCTTCCGATAAGCATCAAAAGTAAAATTTTCACACAGCATTTCGTATTCGCGAGATTGTTTAAGAGAGAGCAATGAACTATAGTCATGATAACATCAAAATGACACGGAATGACTTCAAAATGATTATTAAGGCTGCGTTCAGAGAGTGTGCAATCAGTATTGAGGAATCATATTGTTTTATTCTTTTTAATGAGAACGATAAAGACGTAAGAATATAACACAATAACATTGCAGATAGCGTGCTCTCTATAGCATGAAAAAAGTCACTTTTTAATCAGTTATATTGTACTTTATTTTAATATCATTTTGACATTTTTATCGTGACTTGTTTTGCTTCTAGCCGTTAATTATTTATCACCATTTTGATGTCAGCTTACTTATTTGCTCGGTTGGGAAAAAGATTCCAATAAACAAAATATATTAACGATATGGTTATAGCAGAGATTACCAGCAGAATCATGAAGAATATAATATTTATATAATAATAATAACTTTATTGAGATAAAAGATCATGAGATGTATAAAAATAAATTAATAGAGAACAGCACAAAATAGTAGTGAAGACTCTATAGGATTTGTTCTCGACAGACTTTCTCCGTTGATCTACAGAGGCTGATAAATGCGACGCAATTCAACATACAGCGATGTGACACAACAACGATTTCGTAAATATTATTAATCCCGAGAGTACAATTGCACAAAACCTGTCTTGAAATGATAAGCGGGTCACTGTATTATAATTCCATGGGCGTAACCAGAATTTAAAAAAACAAAAATAATTAAAACCGTTTGAATATAATTTTGTGATTTATCTGTTAGTGTAATTAATTAATTAAAAGTAATAAATATAAAATAAAACAAGTCCATATAACACTTGACTATCCCTCTTCCTTTCCCGGATTCAAAAGTCTTGACTCTAATTTGGTTCCCCCTCTCTCTACATCAATGCATACAAGCATTATATCAAGCTTTTTCTTTTTTAATTTTTTAAACAATTTATCTTTTCTTTCACGTTGGAGGGACAAAGAGAACGGAAATAAACAAATACAGTTTAAAAAAGACTTGGATCGATATTGATAGGTTATTTTAAAATATTTTTAAGTATAATGTCTTATGGACTTTCTACAAGCCGTTAACTAAGTTTTAAGTCTTAAACCGTAAAGAAACTGATCGATCATAGTCGAATATTTTTCTCACATTTGACTGTAATCAGTCAATTTCTTACTGTTTAAGACTTAAGATTGGAGAATGGCTTATTGTATACCTATTACGATGCGGCTCTATATGATATCTTAAACCTATACTTATAGACAATCTTATAATAAAAATTGATTTACGAATATCGATATTATCTAGATTATCGCCATGGAATCTTCCGCAGACTAAAGGGTTTCTATTGTCTTACGCGTACGTTTATAGGGGACTGACCGAGAATAAACGTTTGTTTCCTTATTATATAATACATATACGAAAACAAGAGCTGATAATTGACAATCTGGCTTGAGCCGGATATTTATTTACAATTACGATAATTTATCGATTGAATAAATATATTCTGCAAAACACTTGTAGTTATCGGCCATATCTGTTTCACTTGTCAATACGTCGAACGCGCTTCGCGTCAGTCATTAAAGTCCATTCTATAAATGACTTGTAACATGTATAATTCTCAGAATGCATATAATGGAATCATTATAGTTTTTATATCTTGCGTAATAAACAAAAAAGGCATTTACTACTCTTTTACGTTTGGTTATTCCATTTTTTTGCCTAATAGTTTCGATTACGCTTCTATCACTGCCTTTTACATTTGATTTCCGATTGTTATTTTCACATGGCGATTATTTATGGACAGGCAGCTGTTTATACACAGTTGGAAAATGTGTGTACTTTTGTGAACAAATCTGTTGGTTAAAGTTTTTTTATTAAGTAAGGTAACACATTTAGATGTAAATTCAACATGTGTCTCTTACGTTAAATAAATATAATGAATATGAAGTGTATAAAGTTATTGAAACACGATTTAAAAAGTATGTTAAAGTAATACAATTTGCACGTATTTAATAAATATGTTAAAATTTACAGAATAAGGGGGTTGATTTTACTCTAACAGGAATGGTCAGCGTTATTAGGCGAATTATCGTTCTAGAGAACATTTGTTTACGTTAATTTTGTCATAATAGTTATGTTAATTGTACACATAACTCTCTTCAAGTTTTATTCAAGATTAGATTCCATTTTTATTGAAACATAAACATAGTATCCGTGTTACCGTTCAATATATTATGTTTTAACATATTTGTTCCAACTGTGTACGTATAATTTATAATAAAAAAATATGATAATTAAGCACTAGACGCTCGTAACAAATAAAAAACTACCGTATCTCTTAATTGATCAACTTTAAATCTTCATAAATTAAGATAAATGTATCAAAATTAATGTAATTAATGGACATGATTATTATTATTAGACGAAATGACAAAAATTTTAAATATTAAGCTTTTAATGATATATACGACTCTAAATAAATTTGTTATTAAATTCTCACAACCGAATTTACTTATAAAGTCGTATGTATCATTAAAAGTTTAATATTTAATATTTTTATCATTTTATTTAATAATTAAATCACGTCCACTGACTATTAACTGTACAATTTACCTTACTGTTGGAACAAAAAATGGTAAATACTGTTTTTAATTTATCTTTTTCAGGAAAGTTCTTGCTGCGATATTTTGATTCGCAAATTTTAGAATACCCTGTATATATATTTAACATTGTATAAATTGACTTACAAGTTCATAGTACATTATACATACGTCATGCTTCGGAATAAAAGTAGAAAACAATATGACACGATCAATCTTGCCTTTTTTTCTTTCTCGTGGTTAGCTTATTTATAGCTTTCTGTTCCAAAACATGACGCGCATTCGATTATTCTTGATTATTTTCGCACATCGATAAAAAGTTGGAGTGACAGATAAAAACAATTTTTAATGGAAAACAAATTTAAAAAATGTAAAAACATATAAATATCAGTACGTACCTAACACAATTTATTAAAGAGAAAAAGACATACTGGTCGAATATCTCATGATAAAGAAAAATAATTTTTTTATGTGATGTATAATTCTGCACATGACAAAATCCTGCAACAAATTATTACTTTGTTAAAAGAAATCTAGTATTTAAATTATGTATGTACTTTGATCGAGATAGATATATGTATATTATCAGGTAGGCACTTACTTGCGTAACATGATCTTTCACAATCCGTTTAATAACGTATAAATCAACGTATAATGCAATGAATTAGTAATTAGTAAATAAAGCATAACTAAATTAACAATAGAATCTCTGTCGCAAATTTCTGCATGTAGTCCATCAAATCCTTAAATTATCAAATTGTTGAATTGAATGATTGTTAAATCGTCCCGACTCTCGACTTTGAATGCCTATATATAACTTCAGACTTGAAGACTTTTATTAGTTGCACTGCACTTAGTGACCTAGTTAACTACATTGCACTTACGTCTATTTCCACTAATGCAGATGAACTTTAATTTCAGTTCAACTTATTCTTTAGGTTTTTCTGTTTTAATGCTCATTTCTATCAATGCATGTAAATTAACTTATTTACTCTTGATTTAACTTACTTTTTATCCTTTTCTAGTTTTTTAATTAACTCTCTATCTTTTCTAGTTCTAAGAAATAGAAAATGATGAACAGTAAATTTAATTTAATTTCTAGATTGGTAGGAACGAGCATTAAATTCGGTTCCATCAATGTGAGATCAACTTTAATCTCGATTTAATTTATTGTTTATCTTTTTCTAACTTTAAGAACTTATACTGTTTATCTTCTCCCAATTCTTAGAATTATACCAGTTTGTCCAACGTTGATTAACTTTAATCTTGGTTCAATTTACTCTTTATCTTATTTTAAGTCTAAAAATTATACCGTATTTACCAATATAGATTAACATCAGTCTTAATTTAACTTTATATCTCTTTCCAATTCTAAGAATTAAAAAAGGATAAAAAGCAATCTAATCCGAGATTAAAGTTATTATAATCTACACTGATAGAAATAAACATTAGAAAAAGATAAACAATAAAAGTTAAACCGAGATTAAAGTTAATGTTACATTGATGGAAAGCTTTAGTTCGCTTTAGATAGGCTGTGTTCTTTTGACGTTCCACAGCGCTTTAAACGTTATATTTAATCCTCATATATTATCTGTGAAATATTAAAGACCAATGACGTGCTGAAAGGCGTTGGTGAGCGTCAAAACAAACGTGCAGCCTTAGATAAACCGAGAGATTAACCCGTGAGAATTGGTGAGAAAAGGAGAAAGTGATCGGAGCAAAAAGGAGTAAGAAGAGTAGAAGAGTAAAACGTAGAGGGCTGGGGACTGTTGGGGAAGAGGACAGTTATAGGCTCGGCTCGTGCGTAAACGCACACATGCGAGTGCTCCGATGACTGAGCGTATCTGCGGCCTCTCTGCTCCGCGCCATGCGGGCCATGCGTTTGCAACTGCAACGCTCGCGCTTACAGTATATACCTATTACCGTTCGTCAGTGGTCAGTCCTCCGCAGTCGTCGACGGTCGCTCGGCGAGTCGACACGGAAGTGAGTGGTCGTTCGCGATCGATCCCGCCGCGTCGCGAGATTTTTCACGTGACCTCGTTCTTGTTGTGCGTTTCGTCAACGAGAATCTTGGTGCGCGCTCTCCGCTCTCTCTCTCTCTCTCTCTCTCTCTCTCTCCCTCTCCCTCTCTTTCTCTCTCTCCCTTTCCCTCTCCCTGTCTTCTGCTTCTGAATCACGTTGGCGTGGCGGAGCGGAGTTAGTCCGCGATCTGGCTCGGATCCGGACGGCTGGCCTGCATGTCGATAAAATGCCGTTTTATTGACTTTCGTTCGACTTTCCCACGGCCGCGGAGAGAGAGAGAGAGAGAGAGAGAGGTCTTTCTTTCTCTCCTATTCAAATGCGCCGTATCTAGTCGCGGTGCCCGCCGATATAATCGTGTGACATCACGCGGTGTGTTACGCTAACGTTGTTGCCATCACCAGCCGCCCGTGTGCTCGCTGTCAATCGCGGGAGCAGTGAAAATGCCCGCGCGACTCAGCAAGTTTTCGTTCGAGGTGCCTTGCCGAGATTACGTACATCCATGGACGAAGTCCTGCGTCAGCGCGACCACCGGTCTCGGTCTGCACTGCTTGCAGGAATCCCTCAGGATATACACGACCGTTTACATCGTACGTGTCACGCGCGATCCGCGTCAATGCATTTCTCTTTCTCGTTTAATTTCTCCCTTCCCGTCAGGATGTCTAGACTTCGCCAGGATCGTTCGAGACGAGGGTACGGATCAGGAGTTGCGCTCCCTGCGATTCGTCCGTCAATCTCTCTCCGAGAGACGCGCGCGTCCGCCCTTTCGAGACAAGTGCATTGACGTTAAGTTGTCAGCCAGTGCGTCTGCACTCAGTGCGCAGCATGACCCGGTGGCCCCCGACGGGTTCACTTGGTGTGTGCCGGGTGCAGGTGCACCACGCGGCTCAGTGCAAATTGGTGCGAATGCACCATGGTGCCTTGCATGCATATACACGTCGTCGGTGCACCCGTCCCGAAATCTAATGGAATTGCGAATTCATATCGAGCGCGATTGACCGAAAGATGCCCACGAAAATAATTGAAACCGTTTAAACGTACTATGCCTAATGAGTATTCACGAGGAATTAGTTTTTAAGACTTTTAAGAAAGAAAAAAAAGAAAGAATTGGAGTAAAGTTACATAGGCCCGTTTTCATATCAATGTAGTTTAATTTTAACTTGGTTTAACCAATTCGTTATCTTTTTTTAGTTTTAAGTATTAAAAAAGGATGAGAAGCAAGTTGAACCGAGATGAAAATTAATCTAAGTTGATAGAAATTAACAGATAAGAGACATTAAAGATATTAAAAAACGCATATATATGGTTATTTGCAATTACACTAGATTAGTGCATATCGAAATTAGTGCTATACCTGAAATTAGCAAAAACATAAATATTTTAATTGAAAGATTAAACATTTAAAATCATGGTATTATCATATTATCAAACTAAAATAGAATAATGTATTAAGTTTTATTATTAAAGTAATTATAATATATTATCACAAAGTTGATTATATTATCGTGCATTTATATTATATTATACTTTACAAAAAGCAGCCTTTAATGTGTATTAATTCAGTGTAGCGCGAGTGACTGAATTCATCAATAAACATAAAAAAATAAGAAAAAGATAAACAAGAAAAACAAGAAAAAGATAAAAAAAAGATCGATAATCACACTATAGGTTGACAGCTTTATTTTAACCAATCACGATACAATAAGTGTAGACTAGCTGTATTGTGATTGGATAAAATACTTATAAAAAGATTGAGATTTTATAATACATTTCTGTATATTTTTATTAGACCACAGGAATAAAAAAATACTACTTATTGAAATAATTTTGATCTGGATGGCAAATCACAGCCAAAAATTTTTGTATTACTTTTAAATACGATTTAGAATAATCTAATTTTTTTTATAATTATTTTATTGTTTCATCGATCGTTTTATTTGATCTCCCCTTAAACCAAATAAGATGTATTGAGCTCACTGTATTATACTGTTGGCTGGCATTTAGTGTTAAAAGTGATTTCAATCGTACTTCAATATCGACTCCAATCATCTTAATGATTAATTTATTAGTTACAGTTTGTGTTACTCTAAGTTTACAGTTTAAGTCAGTCGAAGTCATATTCTAATCGCGATTATAGAGTCAATAGGGCAAAATGCCTCGTTCTTTTATCGAGGCATAAAGATATCGAGTTTCCTATATCCAAATCATGAATTTCGTAATTTCATTTAAAAATCTACACAAAAACCTTGAGAATAATCATGCAATCACACTTCTCTTTATGTCTTTAGTTACATTTTTTTATTCATTTGCTTTTATTCTGCACGTTTTACAAAATAATTTGAATACAAAATTAACCGAAACAAATTTTATTTGAAAAATAAAACAAACCTGTGTAAAAGTGTCTGGCTATGAATGAATGCTGAGCATTTAAAACTTTTATAATGTATCCGAAATGAATGAGATTCGGATAATGTCGTAAGAAACAAATCATACTGATATAATATGTCGATAATATTCTTTGATAATATTTTTTTCTGTATAATTGGCGCGTCATACATTTTTGTACATATTTTGCGTATCCGATATTTTCGATTTAATTTCATGATGTAAATTTTCAATTTTGCGAAAATATGTAAAGCATATACAAAAATAACTAAAAAAGGCTTCGGAATATTTGTGTGGACTTTAAACACGATTATTTGCCTTTACCGCGTTATTTTGACTAACAAATATTTCCATTATATTCAACTATTTAGGTTTTCATTTTATACTTATTTTGTTATATAATTACCCGTTCCCAATAAAACTCATTAGCACATGCAAACTACAGTGTGAATGAATGATTCATTATCGCCAGTTAACTATGTTACTTCGTAAATCTTTGGCTGTCGAAATAGATAAGAAAGAAATGAAGCGAAAAAAATGAAATAAAAATTTATAAACTTGATTTAAGTGAATATTTATGACTAAATTAACCATAATCAACAATGGAAGAAGTTAATTTTTATAATTTTTAATTTTGTATTGCAACGCGTACAATTTATGATAATATAAATATTTATGATATAAATATAATTTTAGTTTATAAGTTTTACCGTAAGAACTGATTTTCTTGTCATTTCAGATTGCATTTTTAATGAGAGGAAAGAAGCCAATGAAAGAAGATATCAAGAAAACTTTGTTGGGTATCCTTCAATCCACAGCATTTCTTTCGTGGAGTGCTTTCTCTTATTCGATGTGGATTTGTTTATTAAGGTAAAAAATAATAAATGTATAACTATTTAATGAAGCCAGAATTTTTGAGGAAATTTAATTAAAAAATTTCACGTATCAGCTTTTTTAAAATGCGTGTTTATTAAAATATTAATAAATATTCGAGTATACTAGAAGACACAATTAATAATTTTAATAATTGTGTTTCAGGCAAGCACTTGGACGTTTTTATATACCGACTGTATCTTTTCTTCCGTCCTTTTTATCTAGCCTATCTGCCATTGTGATAGAAAGAGCCTCTAGGCGTACGTTACTGTGTCTTTACGTGTCAAATGTTGTAAGTAGATATATTGCAATAATCACACATATCAAACATTGATATATGTTATCATTATCAAATCAAGAATTCTAGTGATTGAGAGAGCGAGTGACTGTACAGCGTTGTTGTTGGTACGCAAAGTAATAAGAAATAAATTTCCTCAAATTATTAATTTATTCTATTAAAATAACAAATTTAAAACGTTTCGATTCACTTTGGAGTCATCCTCAGCTAATACAAATTTAATTATTCCTCCTTTGTATTTATTGTTCGAGTCACATCAGATTTACAGATTTGATGTTGAAATCTTTTACATAATACAAAGAAGATGTCTCAAAATTTTGATCGATTAATTTAATTTGATTAAAAACAATGAGTAAGTTACATCGCAAATTACATTACTTTGGTCATTTATCAAATGTAACGTGCTTATACTTGAGTGTCTAATTTTTAACTAGGATGTTATTATATTATCGTTTCTTTTTAGGCAACAGAAACTTTGTTTAAAATGGGTTTATGGCGAGGATACTACTCATCTGTTCCAAGAGGAGAGGTCTATATATTTGCCGTAAGCGTAGCTGTGTTACTGTATTTCTTTCGTTCGAAGACAAACAAACAGGATCAAATATATAAAATATTTAGGTATATCTGAATTTGTATACCTAATACATATATCTCTACATCATGTGTATAATGTAATTTTCAAAAAACAGGATGATTATTGGGCAGTATGAAGAGATTGAATATCTTAGAAAGAAAGACTCACATTCCGAAACATCTTCGAGAAACATTGTAACTGACAGCGCAAAGAGTGACAGAAGTATACGTAGGAACTCTGCAAGACATAAATTCAGTATTCTATGGAAGTCTTTTGAGGCATACAAATATATCATTAATAGCTTAAAGGCACAAAGTAAGGATGCTTCGTGTCCGCATCCTTATAGCTGCGCACATTATATTTTAGCGGTATGTATGTAAAAGCAACAATATATAAATATTCTAGAAAAAATGTTTTATTTTTCGCAGTGTAACTATGTTTCTTTTCTATTTAAAGGATAGTGCAAGAATGTTCAGTTATGGTGTTTGCGGACAAATAGCGCTTAAACTAATCTTGCAATTTAAAAGATTACTTCAAAAGCCGAAATTGCTAAAAACCACCATCTTTCGAAGAGACAATTTAAATCTAGCTATATTTCTTGGAGGATTTACCGGTCTTTTTAAAGTATGTCATCTTACTCTGCATACTTGATGCAAATTACAGAATATCGAATAATATCTTTCGCAAGAAATTATTTCCACTAACCTTTTCTTTTTTTTCTCTCTTTGTATGTAGCTAGTATCATGCATGTTGAGAAGAACCCTCCACAAAGATTCGCACATTTATGCTATTCCTGCTGGACTTATCGCAAGCGTAACATTTATGGCATATCCCAATACTACTATAGCTTTATATTTCATGTGGAAAACGCTACAGGTATTATTATATATTTCTATTAATATATTCGTGCAATATATTAATGTAGTAAATTATAATATACAAACTCGCCAACTCTGTTTCAGTTGCTGTGGAATGATGCAGTGGAAAATGAGAAAGTACCTGAAGTAAAATGGTTTCCGATCTTTTTATATTGTTTTAGCACGGCAGTTCTCTTCCATGCAGCTATAGTAGAACCACAAAATTTGAGATCATCCTATTGGAGATTCCTTTACACTGTGTCTGGCGGAAGGTAAATGTTGTGCGAAGCGCAAAATAAAAGATTGTTGTATCTTATCCGAAATACACTCCATTATTCTCACTTCGTATGTATATGGATTTCAGAATAGCAGTAATGTCCCGACTACCTATGAATGTATTCGGTTTAGAAACTCACAAAAATTTGCAAGAAGTGCTCAGAAAAACGAAAACCACAGATCAACTTACCTTTTCGTTCTAAATATCGAGTGTAAGTATCAAGTATGACAATACGTACCTTAGTATCTTTTTCTTCGGAAACGAAAAATAATTCTCTAGAACCAAAGAAGTGTACATCAACAATATGTTTTAAATTGTATAAATTAAATTCTTTACGATAAACAAGTGAAACAAAATGTATATTTTAACGTAGCGATCTGAACATCGACGTTTCTACTTTGTTTTTTCAACCTAATTCGAATGGTGCTTGAATATGTTGTGATACTAAAAGAACTTAATACTTTTTTATACATAGATATAATTTATAACTTAATATATTTGATTGTTATAGTGTGATAATTGTATAAATATATGTCAGGGAAATAGACAAATATTATTTAAATGGATATGATTATTAACTTGTAACTAGAATTTATTTGCAAATACGTTTAAATTGCATAGCGAGATACTTTCATACTTTTCCCTGCGATATATACATTAGATTATTTTTTCTATGTTTAATACAAACTTTATATTTAATGCTAATATAACATAAATATTAGACGGAGACAGCTTTGTTGTATATTTTATTATGAATATAACTATTTATTGGAGCAATATGTGATAGACAATAATGTGTATTTTATTATGTTCATTATAGATTTATACTATTTATTATATCACATTATTTCTGGTTTTTAACAATCTCTAATGCTCTGTTCATTACATCTACGACACCTTTGTTACATTTCCTCTCTATTCTCCTTTTTTTTCGCAGTACGTCGTCCCATTTGATACAACTTTGCATTTTTAAATTCTTACGATTTATAATACCAGCGACTATTTGAGAATCTAGAACTGAAACAGGGTGTTTCGATGGATTCAGTTGAAGTGGTTCCAAACTCTTCAATGAGTCTACTTGCCACGGTAGTAATCCAATGGGACATCCAATCCATTGATAATTGTCTAGAAGTTAGTTAAAAAACAATAACACTATAATATATTATTATTAATCATTCAAATTATTATATACATATATACATCTTCGGAAACCTTATTTGTAAATACATACCATGTGCTAATTTCCAATGTGAATTACGGATTATCTGGTCTGCCAACGAATGAGTAGTTTTCTTTCTATTTGCATGTTTTATTTCCTGTATATGCACTTCATTTTCTATTGGACTCGGATCGAGATCTTTGACATTGAATATTTTATCAAAATCATTATTGCTGTCCTTATTGTCATCCTTTTGGCACGTGTAAATTTGAAGTAAATTTATTAAATGTTTTTGTGTTTGTGTATCTATTCTCGATGTAAACAACTTCAAAATTGGTTCTACCAATCTTGCAGAAAATTCATTTACATTTAATAAAAGTTTTGATAAAAAATTTACATCAAGAAGAAAGTGCGGAATGATACTCGATATGTCTAACCATAGGACGTTTCGCAAATATGGATGTTCAGAATGTATGCGTTCTTTGAGATGTTGACTTAAAATTTTTGTATCTAGTTTTTTGTCCGCTTTATGATACTCTACGGTATGAGAAATACTTTGGACGATATCTAATTGAACAAAACTATAAAAGATGGAGTTTATCCACAAAGCAGCAAGATTTCTTCTTTCTTTATCTTCATGTTCTTGATTTACGATATTGAACAGCTTAAAGAGCAGTGTCTCTAACATATGTTTTTTATGTAATAAGAAAATAATATCTTTCCAGAATTGAAGCATCTTGAGCGGCAAAATCTTTCTTTTTAAATTAATATTTTTTTCTTTTTGTCGAAAAATTTTCAGGATATCTGAATTTGGCAGAAAAACTTTATTCTTGCATAATGCATTGCAAATTGTATTATTCTTCTCATACATTGTACTTGAGGATTTGTTTAAATCTATAGATATCTTAGCTAAAAGTAGAGTTTTTGCAGCTTGCAAATTGTATTCTTTATCCATTTTTATAGTTCTCTTGTAAACGGATACATATTCGTTCTCAGCATTATCCGAAGTTTTACTTCTATACTCAGATAACATGTATGTGCGTAAATCTTGCAACATTTCCCTGTAAGAAGTAATATTAACAGATTAATGTAGTCATATATCTTATAATTCCATATCAAGAACTTATTGATTAAAAAAATGTTGACAGAACACTTCATTTGATTTACAACAAAAAATATACCGTAATTGCGTATCTGGTAAATCCGACACTAATTTATAATCAGCAGTGACATATAAACTAACAGTTGTCCAAATTTCAATCATATATGTAAAATCCTCCACTTCAGATTCTCCTTCCTCCTCTAAGACTTCCTCTCCTTTTTTCAAGTAACATTTTTCCATTGCATGTGCTTCAGGTGCCCAATACTCATCCTTTAAAAGATATTTTAGAAAGATTTGTAACACTTAATCCCATTAAATTTATTTTATTACTATGTAAGCATAGTTGTAGTTATAAGAATATTCTCATATTTGACTGTAACCATCAATTCTTACAATTATAACCATTTATAAATTAAGCTTATGTAATTATAGAATGGACTTTATACAGTTGTGACAGAAAGAAACATACATGTAACCAAAGTAGCAATATATTAATTGCTACCCTCAATACTCCAATGGATGGCAATTCATGTCCATGAGCAGTCTCATGCCTCAACTCGACTATCCACTCTGGAATTTTCAGTTGATTAGCGATTTTAAACATGGACGTTTGCTTTGTTTGCCCTATATTGGAAAAGTAGTTCAAAAATCTCATTATCGTGGTCGAGTACATCAAACTCAGGTCATTCTCGCAATACATTGGTAGCTCGCCATTGTCAATCTTGGATGTCCATTCGCGATCGCGGAGGCACACTTGCAAAATTGACAGAGTACAGTCCACACCTGCTGGTAGTTTCGGCATCCTAAGAGAATAATAATAATCTCCAAAATCCATCTCAATATCCAGTTGAATAATGTGAAACATTGCATCACCTGGCTTTCCATGTTAAAAGTGTCTCGTAGGCCTTTGTTTGCTCGACCGCGTCGTTGGAATAAATTTGCCTGTACACATCGTGCCATTCTGCCCTGATCAACAAATCGATTATCCGTCGGCATTCGTCTCTACCGTTAAAATTTCATTTTTCATTCAATACTTACGGAGATAACCATGGTACCTGCTTTATACCATCGTGTTTCCCGGACACCGCCATATTTATCGATGTAGTGGGCTCACTGATGTGTCATACCATAGAGAAACCTGCTCACTGAGCGCTCAATAAGCTTTCGCATTTGATTGGCATATTCCATTAGATCTACAAATATAGACCAAACAGATAAAGAGCTAACTGAAATTGCGCTCACACGCTCGTGGAATCATTTCATCCTTGTTGTTTATCAAATATCAATCAAGGAAAAGCTTGATAATTGTTAGTAAATGCACCATAATAGTGCACCTGTTGCTGATATATCTTGACAACAGCTCATAGCATATCTACGAAATTATGTATATATATATCAAATTACAATGTAATAAAAATAACAATGGCGAGACAAATCACGACGGTGCTGATAGATCTCAGCGGGACGTTACACATTGATAACACGGTTATTCCTGGTGCCGTACAAGCATTAAACAGGTTATATTAAATTTTCTTGTTTTTCTAAGTTTTATTTGTTTTATTACATGTATACACAAACCGATCACAGTGCAATTTCTATGGAAATGGCTCGATTTTAGTTTTAAGTATCCTAAATAAAATCCGTAAGCTTAAACTTTATTTAGTTTGCATGAAAATAAATTATTAATCAAAAGTTTGATAATTTAATAATAAAAAATCTTTTATTTTTTTGTTTAATGACGCTTTATTTTAAGATTAAATGTCTACTTTTACTTGACAAATAGTTTGTGAAAATATTGAACCCAGTAAGAGTGAAGATTTTTTTTTTTAATTACTGATGAAATTAATCAAGTAATAAAAATCTTACGATTTTTATTTTCAGTATCAAGCATCCTTTTATTTTTAGACTTTAGAGAATAATGAATTAATTTTTTCATGTTTTAGACTACGAAATGCAAACTTGTCAATTAAATTTGTCACCAACACCACCAAGGAGTCAAATAATTATTTGTATGAACGTCTGATAAAACTTGGATTCGATTTACGGAAAGAAGAGATTTTTAGTTCTTTAATAGCTGCGAGAAAATTGATTATTTCTCGACAATTGAAACCAATGCTGTTTATTGATCCAACAGCAATGGAGGATTTTCAAGATTTAATAACAGATAATACTCCTGATGCAATTGTGATTGGTCTAGCACCAAGCAAATTCAATTATGAAGAACTGAACAAAGCATTCAGGTAGTTTTGCATCTTCCTTTTTTCATTTGTATTTTTTAAACATGGATAATTTTAATGTGATGTCTTAGATTGCTTTTGGATGGAGCTTCTCTCATAGCCATTCACGAAGGACGATATTACAAGCGTCCCGATGGCCTAGCTCTAGGTCCTGGGGCATTTATTAAAGGACTAGAATATGCTAGCAATACGAAAGCAGAAGTTGTTGGTAAACCAACCATAGGATTTTTTAAGGCAGCTTTAGAAGAAACAGATCCAGCACAGGCTGTAATGATTGGAGATGTAATATTTTTAATTATATTGTCTTTCTTTTTCATATATTATATATTTTTTATACATTTATAACTATGAATCTTTTTATGATTAGGATGTAAGAGATGACATAGCTGGTGCACAGGCAGCTGGGATCAGAGGTATTCTGGTACAAACTGGTAAATATAGAACAGGAGATGAGAGCACAATTACTCCAGGACCAGCAAAAGTATGTGCTTCTTTTGTGGAAGCTGTTGACAGTATTCTTAGTAAAAGTATTTAAAGATTTGTAATTTGATAAAATAAGTGACAAAATAAATAGCATTAGAATTCTTTATTCATGAGTCGCTGCGCGATGTAATCTCTTTTCTATAGGTGACCCTACATGGTCAATAATACTGATTAGTAATGCTGCATCAGTAATACTGACAGTACCCATCAATATTTTTAGTATTTTTACAACCTTACACGATCAGTATTATTGATAATGCATTTCACTTTAAATTTACGTTTGTTATCTATTGCATGGTGACATACTATAACATGAATCCTAATACAAATAATATTGATGCTTGAAAACCAAAATTCAGACACTGTCAGTATTTTACATCAATCCATCAATATTAACTACACACCACTACACACGATCAGTAATATTGTCAATATTTGTTAATATTGACAATATTATTGACCGTGTGAAGTCACCTTATATATTAATTTACATTTTATTGAATACTGATCATTTTATAGTGTACATAGTCTGGAGTAATATCATATTGTAAAACAGACGCAATAAATACAAATAGAAATTAATGTCAATTCTTTTCTGATATGGAGCATTATGTATGTCACTTTGCTTATCAATGTAAGTCTCGATAGAGACAATAGTAATGTATTACAAAAATAATTAGATAAATATGAAAATATTCGAGGATAGAAATATCGTCTCGTTGTACACTCCTTGTAAAAAATTGCAGAAAATTTGAGTTGATCAGTTTGACATTGAAAAGTTTGATAATTTACAAGTCGGAACAGTAAAATGTAGTATTTTACAAAATAATCTGACATACAAGCATTCGATCTTTCGCAAAGACGATATTGGTCCATAATCTTAATAAATTCTAAAAATTATAAATTTAATCTTTCGCTATGTAGCCTTATGTCATAAGTAGTACCACTATAGAACTTGCACCTAAAACAGGTTTATAAAAAGAAAATGCTGTTTATTAAAAATGTACGGTGGTTTGCGAGTATCATTTTCCATATAAAATTTGGCACCAAAATTTGCTGCTTTGTTCTTTAAATCTCGTTTCTTTTTACATAGGTTGAAGAAAGATGAAATTGCTATTTTTTTATTTTTACACTAATAACGTTCTCAAGTTAATACTTCGTTTTTCTGTGCAAAAATAACATGACGGTGAATAAAACGAATAAATTTATTACCTTTTACGAAATTATATGTTGCTTGTTAAAAAAATATCTAATAAAAAAGATAAAAATTTATTAAGATAATGTGATAGCTTTTATAATTTATCATTGATAAAATGTAAAAGAAAAAGAAAGTTAATATAATTATGTATCTTTTAACTGTATGAGCTGTTTTAAATATCAAAATAAATCATGATTAAAATGCTCTCTGTAACTTAAGATATATGCTCAGGCACATCTTGATTATTAGCATTATGGTAACAAATATACTCAAGTATTTATTTAAAAAAAATAAAGAATAATTATCCTTGATTCATGCGAGAAATATGTATATATGGTATGTAGAGAACAGTAATATATACATTTTCCGAGAACTATACAGTGAACTGAACAATTAATTGATTCTAGATAATGGTTATGTAAATAAAATTGTATCAGATGCAATATCGTTGTAATAAATTGAAATAATTTCATATTTGAAGGCAAATGTACAATTTTCATATCTATTTGTCATACATCATGTTGAGATATTAAAACGATAACTATATTTTCACATTATAATCTAATTTATATTTGGTTTGAAAGATTATATATATATATTATATATATATATACATGCATATATACATATATATATATAATATATATTTTAAGATTTAATAACAAAAAATATAAATTCACTGCACAATTTCTTTTAAAACAACTCGTGTAAAAATAACAAATAAGGCATTCTTAACTAGGATGATACAATTTTTGCCAGCCACGCATTCATTTCACTCAGTCAAGAAATGCTATTATCTTTCTCATAGAGTCTTGACAATACACATTTCGATAAAAAATGAAAGCAAGCGATAGCAAATAATTCTTAACGTGTATAAAGCATTACCAAACCAAGATAAATCCAAGCTTGATAATAGATAAAATTACAACGTATATTATCTATTTAAAATGACAAAATATTATTTACAATTATAAAAAGATTGCTCTCATGTACAAACATTTTAATAACGCAAACAATATTGTATCTCATGGAGCACATTAAAAACTAGTATAGTTTCTCTCTTGACAATTTAAATCTTTGCAAATATTATTGGCTCTGAGTTGTTTGCACAATAATTTGTTGAATTTTTATCTATACGGTATACTGTATTATTAATGGACATTGTTCACAGTCGTGTTCGTATATATACAATTTATTATATTCTAGAAAAAATCAAATGTTAACTTAAAAACAACTATATCATTTTTTTTATTTATTATAAATCTTTAAAGATTAAATTCTGTTGAATACTGTATATATATATATATATATATATATATCATCCGATAATTATATTCTCGATAGTATTTATAGGATCTTATAACATTTAATTTTTGGTATTAAATATACATAATTAGTGTATATATATCTCATATTTACGTCTTATTAGCTTTGACCAGGACAGAATTTGATCTTATTACATTGCAGACAAATATTTCTCTTATTTCCCATGATACACAATAAGAGATATTGAACTTCTATTTAATTTGGCTATTCAAGTATAATTTGATTAATGGTAAATTGACATCTCTCTCTTCTCTCTTTCATATATATTGATATAGATGTATGTTTCTTCTTCTCGTTTTCTAATAAAACAAGACAGATGGAATACATTTTGCATGCATGCATATAACAAAACGTATAATTTCTTATACCCTCAATAAATATTCACAATACTTTTATTATAATACTAAAAGAAGACGATTCTATGTACTAATTACGAAATACACAGCTAAAATAGGAATTTAATAGAGGAAATTGTTTCGAGAAGCATCTGTGAGGATCACCTGAATCTATTAGACCTAATGAAACAACACTTCTCTCGGCCATGCGGTCTATCCCCTTTCTCTGTAGTTGTATCATGCATTTTTAATGATATCTTTGACGTGGGAAGACGATATATGGCTGACAAAACTTTAAGCTCTACATCCAGGTACAAAAAACATGATATTCTCAAGCAGATTAATCGAGAGTAATGCTCAGAGGCGTATTTTCGTTATCCAACCATGATCAATCAGAAGTGACCACAGCTATTTTCGTTTGTGGTTGTGATGTCACCGATGCTAACACGATAGCTTGGTAGGACCCGAACATCCAACCAAAGCCTTTTTTTCATTATCTAACCAAAAGCAATCGCGACTAAGACTATCTTCGTTTTCAGGGATCAGAAGACAAAGATAGCCTTAGCCGCGGTTGCTTTTGGTTAGATAACGAAATGCATGATAAAGAACGCCTCAAATCGGAGAAATCGTTTGTATGTTGCGGTACCTGTTTGAACGAGAAAGTGACCCGTTTGAGTCCGCCGCTGCAAATACTGGATAACATAATTTTAAACCTTGATTAGCATATGCTGTGTCAGGATGATAATATCTAAATGTCGTAAGATCCAAAAAAATCCAGGGCTTTTAGTGTATAATAAACTAATAAGGGAATCTCGCAAAGTGTAAAATTTTGATTTTAATGAAACTTTGTGAACTTGTAGCTTACATAAAGAGATGAATTTAGAAAATATTAGGGTGGAAAAACAGAGGTGAAAGTTTCTAATATACTTAATTACTTACTTACGAGGTTCCCTTGTAAGTATTAGAAACGCCATTTAACCAAGTTTTATAGCCTAAAATGTTGCTGTATATCCTCTTTTTGAAATAGCAAAAACAACATTACACGTTACCCCAGATTTACTATATGCTATGGTAAGTCATCATCAAAGGTATCCTCTTCAAATAATTTCGCTAAGGCTAATGCCTTTGTTCTCAATATTTACCGGTCCATATTTACCGCGCCAAGTATTATTGGTGTTTCCGTAGTGGCAGTGAAATGACATTTTCGATCATGGTATCTGTTTGTGACGTCACAGCCCAAAACAAACGCTACTGTGGTATTAGAACGAAAATACGTCTCTGTTGTGTGAATTTGGCCGCAAAATGCAAAGTGTTTAAAAGTGAGCAATTTACATTAATACTTCCACACATTATTGCCTTAAAATTTTACATTATGTCCTAATATTCCAAATACGCCTCACTTTCTTTCGCTCCTGCTTCAACGTCACACGAAACGTTCGTCAAATCCAGGTGATTATTTCCCAAGAAGGTGGTACAAGGTACCATATTTTGCAAGTAGCCTATGTATTTTCCTCTATTCTGAAATAGGAATCAATCTTAAATATTTCTATTTTAAATTAATGGAAAAAAGTTAAAGTACTTATGTGTACAGCATACTTTACCATGGTATAGAACCAGGTACACTGTAAAGGTTGATGATGTAATGTTAATCCTAACTATTTAATAGGACGATAATGAAGTGTTAAATCCGCCGAAGTTTTCCAAATAAAATGTCTAACCTAGAAAACAGAAAAACATGAAAGAAATATTCTCTCGATAATTATAAAAAGTTTATTCAGGTTAATACATACTGTTCTCAAATCCATTGAAGGATCCAAGATTTGATCGTTACATAAGAGTTCGACTTTTTCTTCAGCTAATGAAGAATTATCAGCATTAGAGTCCGTGTTCGTCCTATCGCCTGCGGGAGATCCGCTGGAAACTGTAGTGGAAACTGTTCCACCAGCCACTGAACCTGAGTCGCTTCCTGTACCGAGTACTTTATCGTAAATATGTTCTGCCACTTTACGTACTTGTATAAAATCATTGGCTATTAAACGATCCCTTAAAAATAACATAAAAAATTATTTATTTGTCATCGCGCGATTTAGAGAGTTAAAGTTAAAGTGCATACTTCTTCAAACTTTTTACACCTGAAGAGGCGTGTGGAAGAAGATAAAAAGGTATTTTAATGAACTGAGGAAGATTCTTGTCCACGACGATATTCACCACCCATGGTGGTACGGTCTCGTTTAATAGAACACCCTCAGTTTCTCCTGCAGCATCTCGAACCAATAATCGATAGAGGGTTCTACCTCCTACTTCACTGAAAAGCAAAATATATATATAATATCATAAATCTAGTTAACAAAATGTTTCTTCCTGTACAACACTCTTTATATACCTGAAGATGAGAGGTGTATGGCTAGGAACTGAGAAGTATGGATTTCCTCCTCTTGTGTGTTGTAAAGGTAAACCATTTCCATCATTACCATTACCCTCATTCTCATCATCGGCGTGCAACGGTCTCCACCAGTGTTCAAGTAATGCTTGCAGTAAGAGGTTTCCATAATTCACTAAAAATAGAAAAGGTATTAAATTTCCAAATCATGTCATTAAGTATTATTAATGAAACAGCTAATAACCTTTTGGATCTATAGCATCGTTATCTACGAGACTAGTTTCTTTGGCAGAGACCCATGCAGAGAAGCAATCATTTTCGTCTTGCCCTAAATGTATAGTTAACATCTGTAATAAGTAAATTAAAAAATTTAGAACCAATTTAATCTTTAGAAACATTGATTTATCAAATAAAACCCCTATTTTGAAACGTACCCCTGTTTTGAGATCGACATTAAACCAGTTTGGAACATATACCATTTTGTTTCTCTTTTTACATTCCTGCTCGAAATCAACTCTACCTAAATCTTCTATTTTGCATGCTTTTAATACATCATATAGTGCAACATTCTCTTCTGTATCTTTTGTCAAAACATGTCTTTTATCATTTAATATATAATAATGTCTTATGGCAGGACCACCCAATATTTTCTGCGTAGGTTCGGTGTTTCTTAAGATATTGCCCGACACATTACTCGTGGAATCACAATAATCTCCTAATCCTAATTCTTGCCAATCTTGTGAGCTTATTGACTGAAATAACAAAAATATTTTTTATGATTTGTCTTTTCTCATGCAAATTTGTTACATTATGAAACTTTGTTTACCCAATTATTAATGGTTGAATCGCTGGTGGCTACCCAAATACTAGATTGATCCGGTGTCATAATCATTTTGAGTATAGGTGCCTTTTCTTCGCAAATGACTTTATATCTCTCTGCGTAGCATAATTCCGTCATTACTACCCTCTTATCCCTACCTCCAGATATTACATGGCTAAAATTATCCGTTGCCTAAAACACATCAGATTTAATGCACTAATCTGAATAATAATTATTAATGTAATAAAGAATTTGCATATATAATTGTGTATGTAATTACCAATAACGCCCATACTCCTTCTTTATGAACTCTAAATGTTTGCACACATCTCTGTTGGCCAAGTGACCACAATTTAATAGTGCCATCGGAACTCGCTGATAAACACTGCGTTCCATCCCTGTTTATGACTAATGCTTTAATATTGTCCGTATGGCCACGAAGTTTCATGAGTTTGGTACAAAATCGTGGATCCCACACTCGAAGAACTTTTTCTGTGCTACCACTCACGATAACTGTACCAACCTGATTCATGGCAAGACTGTATATAGAGTCTCTGTTTCCACTCAGAGACGATGCTGTGACAAGATACATATTTTTTAAGGATATTTAATTACATATAAAGAATATAACACTAAGAATACATTACATACTTGTGACTGTATTATTACTCGCAGTAAGAGCAGTCAAAGTATTAACATCCCATAGAAATATTGACTTGTCCAGACCTGCGCTAGCAACTTGCTCTCTTTCTTTGGCATATGCTAACGCTTTAACGTAATCTTTATGCGTACGCAGGGTGGACATGCAGAAACCTTTATGTGCATTCCATACCTTGACAGTAGTGTCAGAACTTGCAGATATAACTAAACAGAATTTATAAAATGATTATATCATATCAAGATTGATACAGCAGAAATTGGAAACCAAAGAAAGATAATACGTTATATTTCATGCAGATGATACATTTATTTAGAATATCATAAAAATTAATTAAGTTAAATAAGAATATTGCATGAGCGTGTACTTACGATTTTTGCCACTACAACATATCACTATGTCATTAACCCAATCAGTATGATGTTCCATAGATTGGATATATGGCTCCTTTGTATTCCTACTATTCCATATTCTTATGATGCTATCTCTACCAGCTGAATATAGCCTGTTTAAAACTGGATCATACTGTAAGGAATTAACACCAGACCTATGCTGTTTTTCCACTTCGTCTCTTATAACCATAGACACCTTTACATGAAAAGTGATTCAAAATTAATGTAGTCCTTTTTATTACATACGACTTATGAAAACTCAATTATAGTCACATTATTATCAATTTTCAATGAATGCTTTTCATTTGATGACTCAAGTTGACACAAGTATCATTCTACATTTCTCGACATTCAATGAATAACAAAAATAAAATAATGCTTGTGTCGATTTATCTCCAAATGGAAATCATCCAATGAGTGTAATCAAATGTCATAAATGTATCTCACAATTCTAGTATATTATTGAATTTAATTTTCTCTCTTTCAAGCGATACAAAGATTCAATGCAATTGAATTTTGTTAATTAGTACCAAAACTTTTCTAGCATTATAAGCATGATTCTTAGCACAGAAAACAATTATCTTATTATAAAATGACTGTAAAGTCTTGTGAAACATCGGTTAAGGGAATCTACAAGTTTCTTGCAAATCTGTTGACAATATCCATTAGTAATTATACTATATTAGGAATTATACCTGTATTTTCTTACGGGCGATCTGCCCGCCCGTCTTAATAGCTGCCATTGCGTCCGAAATCGTTTCGTCCGATATCTTGACGCCGACGTCCCGTGCTAAAGAGAAGGAAAACACGCAAAGGTCCGGATGCGAAAGTGACGTGAACTGTGTATGTTGTACAGTTCAAGCTGCGACAACAATTCCATGTTCCACACAACCGTTACTTTGGACTCGCGGCATCATCGCCATCGTCGTTGCTGCTGTTAGTGTCGCCGATTTCACTGTCGATGAATGTCGCGTGGCATCATTGTCGTCTTCTCACTGTATTATTGTCGACAACGCAGCGTGCGAGACAAGCGACAGAACCTACAGTAGTGGTACATGACCGAGAAGAATGAACGTTGCGATTTCTTTAGATGACACTTACAATTGCTTACAACCGCGAAACTCGGTTCATGATGCTCGTGCGCACACCACGTGACTACGCTCGTAGTGATCACCGATGCTACTGTTCCATTGCTAATCCCGACACTGTCTGACACTGTCCCGAAACTCCCATGTGATTCCGTGCCGCCGGCGTCAATATGCCTCAGCAGTTCAGCACGCCTCGGTATGTATGTTGTATGTATGTACGTACGCACCGTAGTACATTACATTACACCACGAGGCTCCAACGAGCGAATGCACCAGAATGCACCGTTCAAGTCTCGTCCAGTCGCATCTTGTTGACAATGCTCAAAAGAAACGTGATTCGACCAAGCAAATGCCAAGTAGGCGCGTTCAAGTTGGCAAAGCAGCTAGCCTGGCTCACCGAGCAACTGAACATGATTAGTTCTTACCTGTGGAGCCAACCAATCATGTTCAATCGCTCGGCAAGCAGACGCTTTGCCTACTTTGCCAGCTTGAACACGCCCAGCGTGCAGAACTACCAGATTCTGGCTTGCGCTACCACCTTGGTAGCTACGGTATAAGATAGAAAGAGTACCTACTAGTGAGTACTCTTTCTACCTTGTACCGTAGCTATCCCCACCACGTGCTGTCAAGTGGTAGCGCAAGCCGGAATCTGGCAGCTCTACCAGCGCGCCCAGGGAGTCAGCCAATTGAATACGTCATTCGTGCTGAAAATGGTACAGCTAGATATAGCATAAAGTTTGTTCATCAAAGTTGGAGTAGGAACATTCTAGAGTGCACATTTAGCGGACTTAACATTTAAATGACCACTTGGCTATTATTGATGTATTCTTTTAGATCATTCAATCAGAATTTTAGATTTGGAAGAATACAATGGGTGCGACAAATTCAAATATTGTATACTGTGTGTTATTATTGCAAACATTCATATGAATATATACATGTATATGTATATATTAAAATATATATAATGATACATATTAAAACATTTATAGAAAAAAATTAAAAAGTATAAAAACAAGATGAAAATATTCAATTAAAGACTCTTAGTATAACAATAATTAATATAAGTCAAAAAAGGCGATGTAAGAGTCAAACGATAAAATTTCATGCTATGATATTTAATTCTAAATTTAACACATAATAAAATATAATTATAAAAACAAGACTATTTGTTTTTATTTTAAATAAATGAGAAATAAAACATAATGTGCTTAAAAGAAATAATATAATAATAAAAATATATAAATAAAAAAAAAAATTTTGCTAATAAAGTGAAATAATACATGTATAAGAAAAATTAAATACGAATTTATATTTCAACAAAAAAAGCTATAATATACTCTTTTTACTAAACGGAGCAATTTTTTTATGAATGGTATGATCGGAAAAGAATCAAGTCCGAACGAAATACTAGAGAGACTTAAATACCAATCGCATCTAAAGGTGCATTTACATGCAACCGTCAAGTGTCAAGCAGCAAGCAGTAGAGAACCTCTAGTAGATTGGCGATTCTCTCTACTAGAGGTTCTCTAGCAAGCAGCAACCAATTAGTGAGACGATATGAGCAGTGGCGTAAAAAATATTTTTTTCGCCACTTACCATATCGTCTCGCTGATTGGTTACTGCTTCCGCTGCTTGGCGGGTTGCATGTGAAAAGGTGCCTTTTCACGAGCTGCTGAAACTGGCCGTTCCAGCGACAAACAAGATCACGTGATAAAAATTGACGAATAGCAAGCGAATATGACGCTTGCTATTCGTCAATTTTTATCACGTGATCTTGTTTGTCGCTGGAACGGCCAGTTTCAGCAGCTCGTGAAAAGGCACCTAAAGCCTTTAATGGAATTTCCATGATCGTAGCGCCTGAATCTATAAGCCTGACGTGCCTTGCTGAACTTTTTGGCTGAACTTTTGCACCAGTTTATCTTTTTTCCTTTTTTCTTCTCTTGGAGAGAAAAAGAAGAAAGATAAACTAGTGCAAAAGTTTAAAAAAGAACAGACCTATTATTTCAGTCAAATAAATAACATTTAAATATATAATTAAAAGTGTCTGGGAGACTCACAAATATTTTTAATAGTACTTCATATAAAATACAAACGATTCCATGTATGAACATTTTGTTAAATTTATAGCTGGCTGATTATTTCGGTCAAGTACATATACTTGGTCCAAAAAACATGCATTAATTATAATTAATAGAATGATTCACAAACCTTTTTAATTGCACTTCAAAACTCTTCATACGAAATAAAAACGATTTAAAATAGTAATTTTTACAACCGGAGGTTTTTTCCGGTCATATTCGAATTATATATTAATCGAATGTATGTACGAATTAATTTTTTTTTGTAATGGCTACGCTCAGCAGAAAAAGTAACTGTATAAAATTCTACGATTGGTTTATGCATTTGATCTAATGAGGAAGTAAGGGCAAGACCAATCATATTAAAGAATTTTACACAGTTGCGAAGTTGCTTTCTCTGCTGAACGTAGCCAATTTCATTCATTAAATACTTAGTAAATATTCTCATGTTGTATAATTTTCACCTTATTTTATAAGATACAGCAATTGACTCCCTGATATTAGGAGCAAAGTAATTGGTTCGTTCGGTCGCGCCATTTTCTCGCGCCCGACATCGCGATTGGCACGTCAGGGTGAGCGTGCCAATGAATGTATCCGTTTCTAATGTTTCTCGGAGGGTAATACGCGGATAACGTACGGCCGTGATACGTCAGGATGGAGCCTGGAGGTGTGTTTAGCAGAGTCTTCTAGGTTGTCGTAGTTTCGCCATTTTCTTACTTTTCAGTGCCTAAATCCGCCGTCGCTACGCGCACCTGGTGGTACGTGCACTGAATATCGTAGGCGTCAATTGCATCGAGAATCAACGGTGTTAGTGTTGTGATTACAAACGTGAGAGCAATACTTGGCACGGCGTCACCACGTCGCACCACCACAGGTTGCTATGAATCAATCGCGTAATTTCACGTCGCTGCTGAATCCAAGCTACCTGCAGAACGCTCAGCAGCAACAACAGCAGAATGTCACGACCTCGGCAGCGGCGGCGGCCGCGGCTGCCGCGGCTGCGGTGAGTGCTGCAATCGCGAACGGCACGCAGGCGGGCATTAACGCGGTCAACGTCGTAACGCAGAATCGCAAACGGGAAGCAGAAGGTAATTAACGTCTCCGCTCGCCTTTTCCTATCTCTCGAATCTAATTTACAATGTACTCTGTTTCCTATTTCTGCCTTCCTCTTTTCGATCGTTTCAACCATATTTCTTGTTACATATTTCTCTCGTATTTTTCCAAAATTCATTGACTATTATTTTGGACTATAATAAAGAAATAGGATAAAAAGTGGTTTAAAAAGTGATTTAAAAAGTAGGGAGCAGAAAGCACAACAAAGGGTATAGATTTATAGATTAGGCTTTCCTCTCACACGAAGCAGAAAATGTCATAAGACCTATGAAGAACCTAATTCATGCAAATGTATAAGAAACATTTGAATATTAATGAAAGGGACAGTAATATTAACCGTAATCGATATTTGTAGATTTAATGGACCTGAACATTTTTTCAACTGTATTACAAAATTGTAATAAATATTTCTCACAACCTTACATAATTTTGAGTTATGTAATCTTATTTCTTGAATTTTGACCTTTAAAATAAAAAAAAATATTCAATTACATTAATATTACCCAAAGATAAATTAATTTAAAGTTCATTGGATTTACGAATATCAGTTAACAAAATTTCAGTGTAAATACTGATTAGAATTAATATATCATGATTATAGTATTTCTATAAAAAAAATGAACATTCTATGTTTTGATGATACATTTATAAATTTGTGACTTGATAATGGGATTTTTTACAGGTGATAGTAAACAGGAGAAAGAGTTGAAAGAAGATCGTAAGAAGAGGAAAAAGACTAGATGGAGTGGTAGCGAACATGACAAAACATTTATACCAGGAATGCCAACAGTACTACCGACAAATCTGACTCCTGATCAGGAGAGGGCTTATCTCTGTAAGTTTCTTTTTCTCATACATTTTTAAATGTCTCTTCTTTATTATGCTAATATATCTGGCTAGGGAACCGTTTAAGTATTTTGCTTCTGTACATAAGTTTCTCAAACCTAATTTATAAGAGTAGATGGCTATGATGTAAGTATATATGTCAATAATAATTCAAAATTCTTGGAGGTAAGCATTAGACTTCTTGAGAACCAATATAAAATCACCAAATTTGGCAAGAGGGATTGCCAATTTTGCTGAATAACTAAAAATCTGACCATTGATGCATTTTCAGTATTATGAAATTCTATTAAATGAGTTACATTTATGAAGTATATTACATACCATTTAGATAAGTAAAAATTGTATATCTTACAATTTTTTAAATAACTAGTATTGAATAAGTCATATAAAGCGTTATAAGCTTTTGACTTTGGAAATATTCAAGATTAAAAATATGTACAATACATTATTACTTTTCTGACACATGCTTATTTTATAGAATGTATACGGCAAATTGGCAATATCTAACTGTTGGGGTTTCCGCCCCCTCTAACCCGTTGGTTTACAGTTCAGCTGCAGATTGAGGAAATCAGCAGGAAGCTACGCACTGGAGATCTTGGCATCCCACTTAACCCTGAGGAAAGGTTTGAAAGAAACTTACATACCAAAAATGAACATTACATATGAACATACAGCAGCCCGTATAATACAGGAGCCTTAAAAGATATCTGTGGCTCAGGTTCAATTAGTGTGGGAATACCGATTTGAAAACGTTGGGCTTGATTAGAGCCCTCATGCAACACAGAAGATGAATTTTGATAGTATTGGTTTGCCCTAATCAATCTTTTTTAATATTTCATTTTTATTAAACACTGCTACAGCTATTAAGTTACATATTTTTTAATTTTTTTTCTGGGAATTAGATGTAATATGTAAAACAATAGCTTTTGATAGATTTGTCATACAATGAACTGTATTAGTAGCAGTGTTTAAAGAGAACAGTGGGTATTCTAGTTTATATATCTTGTATAGATACATTTTTGCACACATAGAGTAACTCTGAGGTGACCTATCGTAATCTTTTTCTAATAATCAGTTAAAAATTAAGCAGTATTAGCAATCAGATATTTCAGTATTCAATGTTTCATTATGAAGCTACCACTTTATGTATGGGTCATCTTGAGTGAGATTCTGTCCCTTTATTCAGGCTGCCGTGATTTGCACGGCATATTTTAAAATTATTATATAGTCTTGATGCTAATAGGAAGATTGTTAACTGACTTGCCAATATTTATTGCTAATTACAACCTTAATGAGCAGATTTCAGGAAAATATCGGTTTATTCTCATTCTGAAATTCATAATAATTGTAACAAAGAATTTAACGTTACTTTCAGGTACAGGTCTTAAATAATAAATGCATATACTTTTTCTAATAAATTAATTTATTCCAATAGGTTTAACTTTTCCGATTTTAGCTGGAACCATTATTTTTATGTCATTGTGTTTCCATTAATACCATAGTAAGACGTATCAATTGCATTAATAACTAATCTAAAAAATTATTTCTTAATAATCACAGGATCTGTCTTAGCAGCTGACATCATAGCGATATCTGCCGTGCACAAACGCGCAGTCTTCCAGTGGTTGCCTACTATAGAATACTAAATGTATAGCTATGCTATATTCGGCAGCGACAATTTTTCTATTCTTTATTTTGATACTCTGACACTGTTGGAAAAACCTATAATACACGGTTCTTTTGTAGTTTCTAAAAGCATAACTAATTACATAAGCAAACTGATACAATCATTCAATGATTTAGTACACATCTACAGTTGAGAATATATCTTACTACAAATACTACAAATAACTTACAATACCTATTGAGATCTTATATTATTGTTATTGAAGCAAAATTATTGAATATTGTGAAATTTTCTTGTAAGAGTTATATAGCTCTTCTAATACTGCAGACAAAATTTTCAATACAAAATATTCTTTTTGATAGATGAAAAAATTTAAAGTATAAATTTCATAATTTATTAAGGAATTAAATTTGTCAGATAGTATTACATTTATAAAAAAAATTAGTACTTAAAAAAAGATTATATAGCAATGGTTTATTTATCAGTTTTTTAATCAAGATTTATACACAAAGTCTGTTTTAAATTAACGGTTCTTCCCCACTTATATATTCATACAATCATAGTAGGGTCAGGTTGCTTGTACGCTAGTACCATCTTGATAAAAATTTATATCTTGATATGGTATTATTCTTTTTATTTTCCAGATCCCCATCTCCAGAGCCTATTTACAGTAGCGATGGTAAACGGTTGAACACGAGAGAATATCGTACAAGACGTAAATTAGAGGAAGAACGTCATAATCTGATTCAGAAGATTCTTAAAATCAATCCAGAATTTAAGCCACCACCAGATTATAAGTGAGTCATCACGGACATATACTTCAAATAATATATTCATATAAGGAGAGCATTTGTTTGTTTCTTAATACACATTTATTTTTTTTCCAGGCCACCAATAATACGAGTTCATGATAAAGTAATGATTCCTCAAGAAGAGCATCCTGATATAAATTTTGTTGGTTTACTTATTGGACCGCGTGGAAATACTTTAAAATGTAAGCATTACAAAATGCATTTAACAAAAGAATTTTGATAAACTTACAAAATTTACACAATTAGAAATCTCAATTTCTATTTATTGGTTTAAAATCATTTAGCTATGGAAAAGGAAACTGGTGCAAAGATTATAATTCGTGGAAAGGGTTCTGTGAAAGAAGGAAAAGTTGGTCGAAAAGATGGACAGCCTTTACCAGGCGAAGACGAACCATTGCATGCATACATTACTGCAAACAATTTAGACGCCGTGAAGAAAGCTGTGGAACGAGTACGTATATCGTACCAATTTTCTTATAATCTGTTTTTTCCGATTAGTAATTAGGGATGCATCAGCTATGTAACAAAGATTTATTTCTGACAATATATCCGGCATATCTATTAGAAACTATATAAGAATAAAAATATTGCATATGGAAAGAGTATTGTTGAATATTGAAATATATTATGATAGAGAGTGAGATAGATAAAATAATGCAATTAATTGTTCATATACATTTATATACAGATTCACGAAATTATTCGGCAAGGTGTAGAAGTACCAGAGGGTCAAAACGACTTGCGACGTAATCAACTACGCGAATTAGCTTTATTGAATGGAACATTACGCGAGAACGATGGACCTCGTTGTACCAATTGTGGTGCTTCAGATCACAAGTCTTGGCTGGTTTGTGAAAATCGTGGAATATTTTATTGAAAGAATCTTTCTTATTTTTCTAACTAATATAATTTTTGATGAAATTTTAGTGTCCCGATAAACCAAATGTGACAAACAACATAGTGTGTTCAAGTTGTGGTGGTGCAGGACATATTGCTCGAGATTGCAGATCAAAGAGACCCGGTCAGGGAGGTCCAGCAGCCGCTGGAATGGGAGGAATGGGTCAAGCTGGAGACAAGGCCAAAATAGATGAGGAGTACATGTCGCTCATGGCGGAATTGGGAGAAGGCCCGCCACCAGATAGATCAAAAACAGGACAAAACAGACAGACTCCCAATCCAAATTATCCTGGACTTTTTGACAGGTATATTTTATTTCCTTTCTCTTAATTATCTTCCATTGTTATAACAATCTTTTTTACATCTAAGTTGAATATAATGATTGTCGTCTTTTTCAGACAACAGCCACCTCGTGCATTAATGGCAGCTCCAGCTCATCCTCCGCCACAGATGATGCAGAGCGGCCCAATGATGCCTCCACCGGGTATGGCTCCGCCGCCGTGGAGTCAAGGAAGCGAAGGAATGAACAACATGAATATGCAATGGCAGCCACCAGTGAGCATGCCACCACCACCAGGTGTGATGCAGCCACCACCACCGCCGCCCGGTTCCACTACGCAGCCAAACATTCCACCACTAATGCCATGGATGACAGGTAACAATCAACCACCGCCACCTGGCCAAATGCCGCCCACGCAGATTCCTCCACCTGGGATGGGCATACCGCCGTGGCAACAGGGTCAACAAGGACCGATGCGACCACCACCGCCAGGCACAGCACCGCCTCCGGGATTTCCCGGTAGCTGGCAACCGCAACAAATGGGTGGCTGGCCACCAGCTGCGCCTGTCCCACCTCCGCCTCAACAACAAACTCCTGCGCCACCCGGGATTGACTTGAATACACTGCCAACGTTATTAGCGCAACCACCTCCGCCACCTCCGCCCACTAGTTAGTCCTAATCACGTAAAGACAACTTCCGATTTATATATTAGCGAGACGTTATCATTGAGATAGAAAAGTTTGAAGAAGAGAACGAAAAAAATAAGAGATAGAAGCTGAAAGAGGCATTATGTCCTAATAGGAATTCACAGAACAAGATGAAGATAGATGAGAAACTAGGAACGATGTAATTATATAGCAACTTCGAATGATAAGTTGATTTTATTTTTTATGTATAATCTTGCCTCATTGTGTGAATATATTTCCGATAATAATCATTAAGAAAATTGTAGGAGTTGCATATATCAAATATATATGCTGAATAACTAAAAATTATATTCAATGGAACATTTAATTTTATCTAGTTACCTTTGTAATTTACTGTGAATAATACATTCTGAAATTTCATAAAAAATTTCATATGAATGACATTATGTCATAAATGACTTCTGGTGAACGAGTCCTGTGAGAGCATAATATGTACAGCATGGTTCTACACCTTCTTTTTTTTTTTTAACTTTGTTCCATTTCCGAACGTCGCTTCTGAAATCGAATCTATCAATGTTGAAGAATTGTAACATAGATAAAAACATTGTTTATATATTTATATATATATGTATATATATATATACATATATATAATATATATATAAATAATATTCCAAAAAACTATAATACACAAACATTTATTACAATTCATAACTTTTAGTATAAGTAATTGGTAATTTTGTTTATAAAGATAATGAAATTATGGAAGAGTTTTTTGCAGCATTCATGTAATATTTTAGGATGTATGCTAATTCTTATTTGCAAATTACATGTAAAAATTTCCTACATTCTGTATTTTCTGAACGTTATGCGTTGTCTACAATGGGCAGTAGCAGTTATGGATTAAGGAATAGGCGTACAAATCGATCATAGTTAATTATTCTTCTCAAATTCGACTATGATTTGTTTATTTCTACGCCTACTCCTTAATCCACAACTGCTACTACCCATTGTAGATATTAGATCTTGTTCATAATATTTTAAAGATAGAGAAGAATGAAAACGTAATTTTACGTAAAGATGTTATTGAATCGCGCGGTAAACAATTGTCATGGGTAATGCAGGACAATATAAACCCAATGGACAACCTTAAATTTAGTTCACTAAATCATTGCTTTTATAGCAACATATGTATGTGTATAATGTTCGATCATAAACATCTGGATTATATAATATGTAATTGTTTATTAAGATAGTTCATATTTATATTCGAACGATTGAATGCATTACTTTTGCAGTGAAAAGAATTTGCTACTAAAGTAATATATTCAATTTGATAAACGATGATATCGGATCCTTAATTTCACGAATGATATTTCGTCTTTTATTCGTAGATAAATGGATAATATGCTTTGTCCATTATTACAACGGAGATAGCATTCGAAATTACAAACGTCCAAGCGCAATAATTTCTTATTGTGTGTTATCTGCATGTTAAAAGAGATTTTAGAAGTTTTGAGCCACATATGTTACTTCGTACTGCATTAGTATTACATATGTTGAATATAAAATGAATTAAATTATGAATAGATATGCTAGGTTGCTTACTATGTATTCTAATTAAATAATAAACACGATACATAATGAAATATATTTGTTCATATATATGACGGATTTTGAAACAATTGGTCTCGTCTTCATAACCAGCCATGATCAGACTAGAAATTGAGATTAAATTAAATTAACCAATAAAAATTTGTTACATTTGAAATTGTTTTTCTTTATTTTAATTGATTAAATTTCAATTCAATCTTGCTTTCTAATCTGACTACAGCTAAAAGTATTTTGAGATAAGATCTATGACATTCTTTAGATTTGTATAATATATATTATAATATTATCTACAAGAGTTATATATATATTACAGACTTAATGGTCATCAATCTTCTTTTTTTCTTCAGGATAGGTTTCAAAATACCACTTCATGTACTCGTCCTTCATTTGTTCACGACGCGCAAAGTATTTGGGATACATAGCTTTTTCTAGAGGATGCCAATAATCCAAGACATAATCTGGAACATAACTCTTTCGGTCATATGCTACTCCTGTCGGTGAATCAGGGAACGATATTGGTTGATAATGTATCTTAGAGAAGAGCTCCTTCTCTCCTTCTTCCAGTAGATACTTTGCATATTTGAAATCCTTTATATCCTTATTCTTGTCAAAACGCTCTCTCAATAATGCAGCTTCGTATCTGTACAGAAATTATATTTGACATATAATTAAGCAATATTAAAGTACGTTAGATTTCGATGTGAATACACAACTATTAGAAATAAATAGCATATTATAGTCATTTACTAAATAAATATAAAAATTTGAAGGATGAATTAAAATATTTGTTCTTTTTAGTTGCAATGAGCTTACATCGATTGTTTGTTCCTTTTCTCTTCAAGGCACAATTGTATAACTATATTATTTTAAGTGTACAAATTGTAACAAGTTTTTAGCTAAAAAGAACGGACTATAAATCAACTTGGATGTCACCTTCAGTGAAGTACGCACCTACGATCAGGCGTTTTATGAATCCAATCCTCTATGCAACGCGCAGCGCGCTTGTACAACCTGCATACTTTCTGCTGATGCGATAAAAGTTCTGAAGGAAGATATGCCATTGCTCACGTTAGAAAATGGCAATCAATGAAAATTCTCTTCGAACGTACTCTTGCAATAAACTAAAATGGTGTTATACCCATGGTATAAGAATAAGGGTATGCTCACGCCGTGGACACCCACTGCGCAGTCAAAGCGTGAAAACGTACTCTTGCAATAAACTAAAATGGTGTTATACCATGGGTTCGACCAGACTTGCACCAACTTGCACTGACTTGCACCTTGCACTAACCTGGGTTAGGATTGGATCATGGTGTAAGTAGAAAGGTGAACCATTCCGATGGATGCGCAGTAGATTAGAAGTAGTGAGGGCAGTCAACCAATCACATTTTGAGCTTTTATGCGAAATCTTCAATATGGCGCAGAATAAATACAGTTTTATAGCACATTTACTGCACTTTTCATGTCGTATAACAGTGTCTGCAATATGACTTGAAATTAGCCGAGTTATCCGCATGCAATAAAAGTGCATAATTAATAGCAGTTTTGGGAGGTGCAATTTGAACAGCGCTTCGAAAACGCTTTATACGCGCACTGCAAAAAAGCTCAAACCCTGATTCGTCAAGATCTCAAATCTCCGCCATTATGCGCAATGGTTCACCTTTCTACTTACACCATGGATTGGATTATACTGGCCGTAAAGCCGTAATCACACTACAATAAATATAAGAATAATTAAATAGGTTATGAGTCTAAACTAGGATATCCTAGCTTAGACTAATAACCTATTTAATTTAAATAATTTTTATGTTTTCCGCTGAAGTACAAAATATAAGAATCGTCTTAAAAATATTATTTTTCAAATTAGATTATTTCAAACACGTGCTCTGTCTCATATATATGAGATAGGGTCTGACTATAAATACGCGCGCAAAAGACGTCTTTCGGATATCTTATGCAACATGCATGTTATCTGGAGGAGATTCCGCCTATAGACTTATGGGCCTTCTACAATAAACCATTACTTAAGTTTTAAGTGTTAAATCATAACAAATTTACCAATCACAATCGAATGTGAGAAGAATAATCGACTGTGAGTGGTCAATTTCTTATGACTTAAACTTAAAACTTATCGGCTTATTATAGAAGGCCTATTAACAAATCACTTGATAATGGGTGCATTCCAACAAGCAACACAAATGACACGAGGTCTGTTCTTTATTGCTGAACTTTTACACCAGTTTATCTATTTTCCTTTTCCCTTCTTCTGGAGAGAAAAGGAAGAAAGATGAACTAGTGCAAAAGTTCAGCAATAAAGAACAGACCTACACAGTGTATCAGTACATCTTTGTTGTTCGCCAATACAAGGATAAGATGATTACTGTGTTGTAATGTGTCACTTGTTGGAAGGCACACAATAAGAGGTACCTTTTTTGAAAAAAAAAAAGAAATTATGTGCGCTAAAAATATAAATTCTATGTATAATATAATAGCGTTTTCTCTTGGCTGCACTAGTGCAACACTCAGACAGTAAGTCTGTTCTTTATTGCTGAACTTTTGCACTAGTTCATCTTTCTTCCTTTTCTCTCCAGGAGAAGGAAAAAGGAAAGAAGATGAACTGGTGCAATCACCCTACACTGGTGCAGCCAAGATAAAACGCTATAAGATTTATCCAACTTTTTATATTTAACTTTATGCATAAAAGAATCTAGTTCTTATATGTAACCGTATTTTATATGTTTAAATGTACCGTTGGCTGCTTTCCTTTTAGGAGACACAAATCGACACAGTATAACACACGGTGCAAACCCATGCAGCGGAATAGCGGAACACAGAACGAGAGCGGAACCAATCACGAGCGTTCCGCAGTTTTCATTACGCGGTTTCAAATCCCTTGATCTCCATAGAGCGCAATGAGCGTAAGCGGAATTATCAGCAAGTTCGTAAATGACGTTTAAATATTGTATTTATCATTCATTTTTTATTATCAATTAAGTATCTAAATACAGAATTAAATGCATTTCTCATTGGAAAAAATATTTAAAGATGTTAAAATTTATGAAATTAGTTTTAATGTGATTGTAACCTTTATGAAATAACGATTTATGATTGGTTGCGCAAAGTCTGCGTTGCGCTTATTACGCTACATGGGTATTAAGAGTTCACATTTCAGCGTAACAAAACTGGCGGAATAACAACATGATGAGTAGTACAGAGATAAATTATTAGTTATTACTCACTATTAATGACAGATCTTAATCAAAAAATGCTTGAGAAACGTGATCGCTCGTGATTATTAGTTATTACTCACTATTAATGACGAGAGATTTCCTAACCTAAAAATGGTTGAGAAACGTGAACGCTCGTGATTGGTTCCGCTCTCGTTCTGCTATTCCGCTGCATGGGTTTGCACCCTTAAATGGAACGCGAAATGTGCAGTGTGTGTATCGTGTGTACATACGAACTTTTAATACCTAATCATAAAAGATTTGAATTTTGATCTTAATGGACGCATAAGATTCGATTACTGCAAGGAGTGCGTTCTAATATCACTTAATTGTCTTAATTCATCAAAATCACACTTGAATAGACTCGAAACACACTCTGACTCTCCTCCAGCAGAGGCGAAATGTGTCGATTGAGTTTGAACAAAATTGTAAATGGAAAGCAACGTGTGTCGATTCGTGTCAAGTATGTCGACTGTGTCTCCTAAAAGGAAAGCAGCCGTTGTTTACACTGATAATGATTTGAAGAAGGTAGAAACATTTTAATTTTTGTATTTTACATTTGTAAAATATATTATAGCATCTCATATATCCTAGCTTAGAAAGACTCATGCCTGGTTTATGCTTCGGTCTTAAGCATCGACATATAGAATGGACCGCTGATGACAATGATAGGGGTAGAAAGACGGATAAAGTGAGAGGCAGAAATAACATGATCGTTCTTTCTCTGTTTACTGATAACTACTGATTACTATTGGTCGCTATTAATTCAACAACCAATCAGGCTTCAGTAAACAGAGAAAGAACGATCATGTTACTTCTACCTCTCACTTTATCCATCTTTCTACCCCCACCATTGCCATCGGCGGTCCATTCTATATGTCGATGGTCTTAAGGCTTAATCCTAAAATTCAGCCAATAGAGTTCAAATTTCGGTTAGAACTGGCAGCTTTATTGGTTGAATTTTAAGATCTTGGGATTAAGACTTGAAGCATAAACCTCAATAGACAGGCATCACAGTCTATTTAATTTCTATTATTTTTAATTATTGAGTCTTATTAGATTTAGGCCTGATTGCACCAACGTGATTTCGATTTTAAGCGAAACTTAAACTGTCTCTGTCTCTGTCTCCCTTTCGGCTTTAAAACGAGATAGATGCAGTTTTAAGTCTCGCTTAAAGTCAAAAAGTGTTGGTGCAACCGGGCCTTAATAATTAATCCGGTGGCCTCCCCACTTTACAATGGAGAAAATATTAGAATAAGTAGAAATAAATATTAAAATTGCAACTTTTTTTCAACCGTATATTCCGATGTATCTAATAATAGGTTGAAATTTTAATATTTATTCCTACTTATTCTAATATTTCCTCCATTGTACGCAGAACATGCTTAAAACGTAGTTATACGTAATTATGCTGGGGATGTAAAGTGGGGAGGCTACCGGAAATGTAGGTGTGCGACGGGAATGCGCGTTGTCGCTTTATTCAGAGCGACGCAGCGTCGTTCCGCACTTCGACTTCCGCGTCTATTCTATGAAGCGGCAGCCATTGATTGTTTTGTCGTCGAGCGTCGGCGTGGTCGAGCGATTTTCGCTGACTTGTGAAGTGCCATTATTCGCATTCGTCCATTGTGTGATTTTCAAGTAGCGTCTAATATTATATTGCGCGATTAGATCTATTTTTTTAAGTATACGATGAACTAGAGAAATAAGAACTGCATGATGCATACGCATACCGAAACGTCGTGCATGACGAAATGTTTCGACGAATTTTTACACACTATACTATACTATACTATAGCTTTTTCTCTTGGCTGCACCAGTGCAACACTCAGCTGAACTTTTGCACTAGTTCATCTTTCTTCCTTTTCTCTCTAGGAGAAGGGAAAAGGAAAAAAGATGAACTGGTGCAATCACCCTACACTGGTGCAGCCAAGAGAAAACGCTATATACTATACTACACCATAACTTTTGTCATCGTCATTACTGGAGCGCGAGATTGTAGCTCGAGCGGGAATACAAAAGCTGTTTCGGGACTAACATTGGAATATTGTAATAATAAAATATTTCCTTTTTTCAGGTTAAACGACGATTCGTACAATGGCTGTGCCACCGGATTCCTATCAGATCTCAGTGAACATCATAGAAGCTGTCAAAGAACACCCAGTACTTTATTGTACTGAGGTGAAGGGTGAGCCGGTGAAGCTGCAGGAATTCAAACAGCAAGTCTGGAAATATGTCTGTGACCAACTTGGACTGGACTGTACGTTTTTATATGTCGTTTCCTTTTTTTTACGTACTATGCTACTGGCTATATTATATATTTTGCAACTATCAAAAGTTTTTTCATTGAAATAAAACTTCCTATAAATCTAAAAATATAATCTACTCAGAACAACGTAAATATCTAATAATAGTAAAATGATTATTTTTTATTAAATGTAGTCAGAAACTATACGGTAGAAAAAACAACTTTACAACTGTTGTTAAATTTTTTAAATATATTTGATGTCGTTCTTAGCTTGCACACCTATTCTGTAACTCTTAACGCAAGTTTCGTTATCGTTATAACGCCACTGCGCAGCTTTTTACTATAATAAAAAAGCTCCCAGCATCCGAGAATGGATTTAAATGGATTGGATTAAGTCTATTCAAATTCGTATTTTAAACAGCGAAAACTTTTTTCGATTCAATTGGATGCAACTGGATTGAAAAACTGCATTTTCTATTCAAAATTATGAATTGAACAGTATTCACTATGATCACAAACGCACTGAAAAAGCTAATATTATTTTATGATTGAAAAGTACACAGATATGCTTCATGCAATTCCTATAAATGAATAAAAACGTATTCGGATTGAAAAAGATTTATTTTAACAATCATGAATCCGTATTTCTGAAAATTTAAATCCATTTTAATCCATTTCAATCCATTCTCAGATACTGGGTTGTGCAGCGGCCTTATAACGATAACGAAATTTGCGTTAAAAGTTACAGACTATGGGTGTTTTCCAACAACGTACACAGATGACACAGTGTAACACTGTGTCTTACACAAAGTGTTCCAACTGTGACACAGTGTTACACTGCTCGACACTGTAAAAAGCTAAGTACGAACGTGTAGAGTATGCCAGTGTTACCAATTAGAGCTCTATCGTTCCAACAAGTCTTTACACAGTGGAGCACAGTGTAACGTTTCTGTGTCCTAGCTGGAAAACAGCCTATGTATGCTGGATCCTCATACAGACAACAATGCTTTGACACTAAATGTTGATTGGTAAAAAACAATTATGTAGAGAGGTAAAATTTACATCTTTCATTCGCTTTTCACCAATCAGCACTTGGTGTCTGTATAAGAATCCAAGTCCTTCATTAAATTTAAATGTATGAACCAATCATTAAAGAATCTTGTGACAATTGCAAACCTACTTTTTCTGCTAAATGCAATCGGTGATCACATTCAGCAGAATGATTGCATTCAAAAGTTCATTGATTGATAAGTGCATTTAGAAGCATGACCACTTACTGAGCTCTTGTATCTGTTTGGTCTACATTTTTAGATCTAATGGAATTACTTTAATTTCCACCAATAAAGATTAACTTTAATCTCGGTTTAACTTACTGTTTACCTTTTTCTAATTTTTATAACTAGAAAAAGACAAAGAGTAAATTGAACCGAGATTAAAGTTAATCTGCATTGGTGGAAATGAGCATTAACCAATCAGATACAAGATCTCATTAAGTGCTCAGTCAGTGGTCTTGCTTCTGGATGCACTCAATGAGTGCTTAGTGATTCTTTAATATGATTGGTTTTTTGCTTTTAGTTCTTCACTGGATGTAAATGTAGGGACTAATTATATTAAGAAATCAATAAATGCTGACTGAATACATTTTTCTACAGAACACAGCCTTGTTTATTTTGCAATTGTTGAAAGTTTTCTTTGCTGACATGAATATATTTTTCTAGATCTAGAACTATAATCCAATCAAAATGAAGAAAACTTTAATAATCTATTGTAAAATAAACAATCTCCTAAATGTGACCATTGCGTGTGTTCAGTGGATTCAACAGAACAGTTGAGTGAGCGCTCACTGTTAATGGTACATTTTTTTAGATCATTCGTTCAGAATTCTGAAATGGATCTAGCAGAATACATCAATAACAGCGAGTGCTCACTCAGGCTGTGTTCCGTTATTCACTGCAAGTACTGAAAATCTGTAGTATACGTAACGCGAACTATAAATTTTCAGTACTTGCAGTGAATAACGGAACCCAGCCCCTATTGTTGAGTCCGCAGAGTGCACCCAATGGTCGCGTTCAGCAGATTCAACTGTTGCGAAGCGGATCCTTGAGCGCTCGCTACTATTGGATGATTTAAAAGAATATACCAATAGCAGTAAGCGCTAATGAATCTGCTCCGCAACAGTTAAGTCTGCTAAATGCAACCAATGCTTGCTGTCTGTTGTAGCTACATGGGTTAGACTAAAATGGAAGAATCTAAGGGATACTTATTCCCGCATTTTGAAGTGCAAGATTAAGGCAGACGAAGGTGTGAGAAGAAAAAGATGGATCTTTGAGGATCTCTTGAGCTTCCTAAAATTCCCGTAAGTGATATCTATGATTATTAATGATTTTAACGCTTATGTGTCGTTTTCTCAATTAAAAATACTTTGGCAGATGTGAAACAGATTACGAGCCACAGTGTGTAGAACTGACCAAAGAATACGTTGAACTGATAAATTCGAAAGATTTGACTGCCGAAGGTTTGCTGGAGCAGTTAGAAGACCGAACTGAGGACTATTCCGAATTCCTGGAAGTTCTTGAAGAGACATCAGCCGACCCAGTTATACTAGAACCCGTTGAAGAGACAGTAGAGACAATTGAAACAATAGAAACATTGGAAACAATAGAAACAGCAGAAATATTGGACGACAGTAATGAACAGACAGTCGCTCAAGAAGTGGTGATTGTACAAGAGATTCCTACGGAGGATGTGAATAATATTAATCAAAAACGGTCAAAGATTCGAAAGACAGGTACTAAACGATTGAAAACCAGGAATACTTCTCTAGTATTACCTAGCTATAGAAGAACAACAAGGTCTTCCTCGAAGATCGATAATTTAAATGTAAATGATATTACAGCGATTGAGTCTGTTTTTGAGAAAAGAACACCTAGCGTACCACGTGGCGTGTCACGTAACGTATCACGTAGCTTACCACCTCTCCTATCATCTACCGTGCTGTCTACCGTATCACCTAGCATACCTCCTGGTATATCTCCTAGCGTACCATCTAGCATACCATTTAACATCGTATCACCTGGCATACCGTTTATGACTGTGAAAGAAGCAAAAAATATGGAGAAAGAAAATGGGAAGCAAAAATTTTACTTAGCACCCGAAAGTAAGGGTATAGAATTATTTTTTGACAGCATGGCACAGGCAGTGAAAAAATTACCATCTAAAGCGCAAGCGGATATCAAGTTGAATATCTGCAAACTCGTCACAGAGGCGGAAATAAAATACTGTGGTCCAACTACAGTACAGAGCGCACAACAGTTCTTAACACCGCCCGGCATGATACCTAAGCTAATTTTGATTCCTTGTAATATGTTGGATGATCCAAATGATAAGAATTGATTTGTTCATGTTGCGCTGAATGTGTCTTAATGCTGAATAAAATTGTAAGTGTATTAATATAACTAATTAAATTATAAGTATTATATAGTTATTATATCTTTTACATCATTCCAATATTATATTCATCACGAGTTCTCTTGACAAGCTTGTTAGTTTCATCTGTATGCTGAATAAAATTATGAAATTGAATAACAGAACTACAAACGAGATTATATTTTATTATAATTACATTTTATACTAGAATCCGTAGAGACGGTAAAAATTACATTTTAAAACAATGATTATCATGGTAATTATCATAATTTTAAAATTATAAAATATAATCGTTTATCGTTTGCTATTCACTCATAATTTTATTCATCATATAGATGAAACTAACGAACTTATCAAAAGAACTGTGTTGTAATGAATGTAATATTGGAATGATGTAAGATATAAACACTATAGATGTGTGAGATATATGTCATGTTAAAATTTAATTTTAACTTATATTCATGGACTCTCTATAGAGACAATACGTTGTATTTCTTGACATGTATCTCTACTTACATCTAATAGATGTTATAAAATTAAATAAATGTGTTAATTGATGTCAAAATATAGGCCTGTTCTTTTTGCCTGCACTGTCTGAACTGGTACATACAGTGCAATAAGTTGAAATGAAACAAACGTATATCTGTTTCACTTCAACTTATTGCACTCTGTGTACCAGTTCGGTAAAAAGAACAGGCCTAATGTTACGAAGTAGAAAGTTGTCATAAGTTAAAATTACATATAGTCAAAATAATATTAAAAGTGATATGTTATATTACATTTTGTTGATAATGTTCGTATAAGCATGGTGCAATTTAGTGTCAGATTTTGAATTTTATTCATTAGCTTTGAAATTTGATATGAAGCATTTTAGAGAAATCAATCTCTTATAATTGATTTCGTTATGCACGTGTTTTCCCATTCAAATTCATGTTTGAATTGCATCCTGTGTTCTGTAATGACAAACCGGTTTTTTTTTATCGATATTAAGATATTCAGCAATTCTTGTTTTTAGTTTTCTTCCTGTCTGTCCTACATATGAGGCATTGTAATCTTTACAATTGATTTTATATATGATATTTTTCTTGGAATCGTGAGGAAGGACATCCTTTTGTGTCTTGATAATCCTATTGAGTTTATTTATACTGAATCAAGATAATTTAACATTATTGTTTTTGTAATGTTTTTAAATTTTCCATAAAGGCAAGGAAAAAATGGAATTGTAAACCATGTGGCTTTTTTTCTTTCTCATCATTCTTTGGTTCTGTGGAATCTGTTTATTTAAGTGTCTTTAGTTTTAATAAGGATCTTAGCCAAGAGTTAACAGTGTCAAAAATAAACTTGATAGGATATTCGTTAATTAGAAAGGTTTCGATAATAAACCTCAAATTTTTTTGTGGTATTTAGGATGTGATAGTAAGAATGTTGTATCCACCATGCTTATTAGAACACTCTTTTTTTGTGAAAGGGGCTGAAGAGACAAGAAACTGAGATACCTTCCTGAAAAAGTTGGTTTGTGATATAAATTAAACTTTTATTCCATTGACATTAATGATTATACATCTAAAAAATTTAATCTATCTCCTGCATATTCTAAATTATAGTCTGATATGTAGTCAGTTAAAAATGTCCAGAAATTTGTTAATTAAGTGGTGAGATACCGCAGTAGCGATGTCATCTACATATCTAAAGAAGAAGAGTAACTTAGTTTCAAATCTCTCCAATGCGAACTCATGGCGAATCCATGGGCATCTTAAATTTCTGTTTGTAAATCTTGCTATCAAAGGTGAAAGTTGATTCTAAGACCAACTTCAGTGCATTTAAAAATTCTTATGGGTGCCCTTGCGTGTCCTTGAAATAAAATTCCACCTTTCAGAAACACTGTTGATGGCAAGATCCATTGGTATGTTTATGAACAATGAAACTACGTCTAAGGAAATTAAAACAAAATCATTGTCCCGATGTGTGTTTGACCAGTTTAAAATTATCTTCGATATGACTAGGTGGTTTTAGAATGTAATCATTTAGAATGCTTAATTTAATTAAATGCTTAATTAAAATTAAATTGTATCTTACCAATTTAAATTAGACATCTGCTAATATACTTTGTAGCGTTTCTGGTATGAGTAATGAGTTTATTTTAGCTATTGCCAAGAAGGAACTTATTACAACGAATCTAAATCACTCATCTTGTTATACTACTATACTTTTATCTTTTTAAAACTGATTAATTAATACATTCAGCGCGTTTCTGGTTTAATGTTTAAATAAATGTGTGTATTTGTGTGAAATATCAAATGTATACATGTTTCTTGTGGAATTAATGTCAATAAAAGATCAACATTTTAGATTATTTTAAATTATTCTATAATTTAAAATAATAAATAATATAATATTTATAATATATTGTCTATATGATTATATATGATTCTGATATGATAGTCATTAGACATGATGACTCTATGATTATTAGACAATATGTATATTTTTGTTAGTTCTGTTAAATTATTTAGTATTTATTAATGTTCATTATAATTTAGTTTTCGCGAATGTTTATTACTTTTTTTTACTCTTATTGCCTTTAATATAACACAATTATTATTTTTCTATTATAAATTATATAATGAGAGAATATTTCTATTTTATTCTAATCATTGAAGAACAGTCATATAATCCATGCAAACTTAATTTAAAAAGCATATAGTCATCAATTACTCTATTGAGAAAAGGTATAAGAGAAATAATGTTAGAAAATTGCTTTAAAAATAACCCAGTATCCGAGAATGGATTGGATTTTGTCTATTCGAATTCGTATTTTAAATAGCGAATACTTTTTTGTGGATTCAATTGGATTCAGTTAGATTCAATTGGATACAACTGGATTGAAAAACTGCGTTTCCTATTCAGAACTATGAATTGAACAGTATTCACTATGGTCATAAACGCACTGAAAGCTAATATTACTTTATGATTGAAAAGTATACAGATATGCTCCATACAATTCCTATAAATGAATAAAAACGTATTCGGATTGAAAAGGATTCATTTTAACATTCATGAATCCGTATTTCTGAAAATTTGAATCCATTTCAATCCATTCTCGGATACTGGGAAAGTAGCATATTTTTGTTCAACCAGAATACTCATTAATTATCCTTCCAGGATTTTTTAAATCCATTTCTCTCTCTCTCGGGTAATCAAAATTATTCAAATTTTATTTTAACTTCTAATTATTTGAAGATTACAATCAGACAAGGAAAATTGCTAAAATTCCGTTATATAAACATTCTTAAGAAATATAACTGCTGAGTAATTACTGTGACGTATTGATAAAGATATCTTTGATAAATATAGAGACTATAACGTAGAATCAACTGAAAAATTGCAGTTAGATAATTACGGAAAAATCATAGATTTTTATCTGTTATACATTAAGAATGAAGGAAGAACTCGCGGATGATTACAAACATGATATAGTATACAACAAATAGTACAATACTTCGCTATTGGCTACGTTTACACCGTGCACTTAGTCTGCGACCTATACGATAGGATATCTTTATTTAACCTACAGGATAAACAAAGACATCTATTGTTTAGGTCGTGGCCTAAATGCAAACGTAAGGTGCAACGTAACGATATAAACTCATTAACGATGTAGCCATTATTGCGTTCATTTTCAGCAATTGTAAAAAAAAAATAATTAATGAATATACGCTGGCTGCAAAAATGCGTTTGTTACTTTAAAATTATTTATTTAAATGAAGAAATAAAATATCAGTTGCGTATCTAAACAATTTAATATTTTTCAATAAGAGGTAGGTGAAAGAACCTGTTTTTTATTTGCTTACAGAATTACACGAAGGATACTATTTATATAAAATATACTATACATTAATATAGAAATCCATGATAATTATAAATCAATGCAACATGAAAGTCCATTCTTTTAAAACTCGCAAGTTTTCTATTAATACAGAGTATATTAATTTCTCGAAAATAAATGACAAGGAAAAAAAATTATTCGCTTTCTATTATAATTTAAACACGTTCCTAAAATAATGCACGTGCGCACGTCGTCACTGCACGTCGTCTTTAATCGGCGAAAAAAACTGATTTCCTTGTTCAAACGTGAGTCGACAACTTCGACCGTGTTGACAAACGACTGATAATTGTTTGTTTGGTATAATATAACTGATAAACATTTGGATGGATGGTTGTGAATATTTCTGAATGTTTCCTAGAGGTAGAGTGAGGCTAAGGAGCAGTCTCTTCGTCGGATTTGTCGAGAAACGGCCGACGAGGATGTTGCGACATTTGACACGTGTGCAGAAGCACACGGACCTGCTGAAACAGTGCTCGACGATTCAATTTGCGAACTCCTTCAGAAGAGAGGTGAGTTACGCGTGTATTCACTGGGAACGATTGGAGGTTAGGGATCTGACAGACGACATTTCGATCGGATAAAATCTGTCGATTTTTGATGTAATATAGACGACCCTTTGAAATTTCGTCGAATTTTCGCTTCCTCTCGTAGCAATGCTATGTCTCATTGTGATATCAAATATAATTTGTACGTAATCGTGAATCTATATTTGACTGAATGTAACTGGATATTTAGTTTATGTTCGTCGCAGAGTTTGATGAGGCCGCTTTCAGTGTAAGAAGCAGAAAATTGTGATTGGAATGATGAAAATCGTCGCTCGGCATCGTGAACGAAATGTTAAAAACATACGATTTTCGAGATTATATATATAGGAAATTTACTTTAACCTTGCCGATGGAGTGCAATCGACGACACGTGACAGAATAGCGCGCGAAATTTGAACGTAATTATAAAAATAATTTTAATAGTCGCGATTCTTGTTTTTAAGACCGTCTTAAGTACAGTGTTAAGATGTCATAAACCAATCACAATAGCAGTATATTAGCATTTTAAGATCGTCTTCAAACAAGAACCGACTATGAGACCCGACCATACTTGTATTTTTATGTTGTAAAGTAATTAAATGATTGTAATTTTATAAATAGTAAAGAGAGCGGTGAATCTTTGTTCTTTGTTAAAATTGAAAGTGAGGATTTTACTTAATAAATTCAACTTTTACATCTAAAACATATGTATAAATACATATATAAAATATTTCAAAAAGAAAGTTAAAAGGTATATATTAAAAAAAAATTTACCATTTTTATTTATCCTTTTGTGTAGACAAAAATGAATATTTTTGTCAAAGACTGATGTAAATGAATTGAACTCGGCATAATGTCATGTTAAATTTACAGAGTTCAGAGATCAAAGGCAATGACGATACGAAAAAGTACAAAGAATTTCTCAACACTGCCACCACGAAGGAAAAATTACTGAAAGCTCTAAAGCAAGAATGGAAGTTGTTCAAACGTATATTGTCATCTGATAGACAATATTCTGATTTTAGTGCATTTTGGGAGGGACCTCAAATAATTCCTTCTCAGTGTGATGTGCTTATCATCGGTGGTGGAGCAATTGGTAGTTCGATAGCATATTGGTTAAAACAGAAAATGCATAGAGAAGAATTCAGTGTTGTCGTAGTTGAGAAAGATCCTACGGTAAGCTTTAGATGTATTTTCTATTAATTTTTAGGATTTTTTTTAGATCAATAATTTATACACTTGATAATTAATTAAATGCATATTAATTAAATATTATTTCAGTATGCCAAGGCTTCCACGACTCTTTCAGTGGGTGGCCTACGTCAACAGTTTTCTCTCGAAGAGAATATCCATATGTCATTGTATGGTGCGGAATTTCTGCGAAAAATTAATGAGCATTTGAATATTCCCGGAGAGCCGCCTATCGACGTGAATTTTCATCCTTATGGCTACTTGGTGCTGGCAACTGAGGAAGGTGCTGAAACTTTAGTACAGAACTCTAAGCTACAGAATTCTTTAGGGGCAAAAAATGTCATTCTTACTAAAGAGAAGCTGAAGCATATGTTCCCTTGGATAAATACCGACGGGATTGCGGCAGGTTGTCTTGGGTTAGAAAAAGAGGGATGGTTTGATCCATGGTCTCTCTTATGTGCTCTTAAGAAAAAAGCTAGTTATTTAGGTGCTCAATATGTCAATGCTGAAGTCAAAGCTTTTCAGTATAAGGAGAATTCAGGAGAATATAATAATGAGGATATGAAATCTATTGAAAAGTTAAATAACGTAGTTGTAAGTATGCATTATATATATATATATGTGTGTGTGTGTGTTATTTATATATAAATATACATTTGTTGTTTAGTTATATAAGACTTTAGATATAAACTGCATGAAGTCGATCACTTGATCTGCTCAATAAATGTATTGAATATGCGAATTAATCATATTTTTCACGCGACCTATAGCTAAAATTTTTGTCAGTTGCAAATGTGGAATATCAAATAGATAAATATGTTTTGTGTCAGGTAAAAACAGACGACGGTGAGATTAGGACAATACAATTTTCTGTAGCTGTTATTGCTGCGGGTGCGTTTAGTGGCGATATAGCTGAGCTGGCTGATATCGGAATAGGCGAAAAACTATTATCTGTACATTTACCAGTTGTACCCAGGTAATTTCACGACGAGACGTTCGAATTTTATTACTTCTCATTTATCTAGCTTTATTATTATTGAATGATTCTTATTTGCAGAAAGAGATATGTATATTGTTTCCATTGTCCTGATGGACCTGGCTTAAATACGCCTTTAACAATTGACCCCAGTGGTACATATTTTAGGTACGAGCTCAAGTTTTCTTTAAGTACATATATTTTTCTATTACAAATAAATCAGTTAATAAAGATAAATAATTAAAATGATTATAAATGATTTATAAAATGTAAACAAAATTACTTCCAGACGCGATGGTTTAGGAGGTAGTTTTATTGGTGGAAAATCGCCAGAACCAGACGAGGAGCCATCAATTAACAACTTGGATGTCGATCATGAATTTTTCGACAATAAAGTGTGGCCTTTACTTGCTCACAGAGTACCAGCATTTGAAAATTTAAAGGTATGTTTATTTTTCATTATCAAATAACATGCATGATAATATAATTAAACATAAGGATATTTATGGTAATGTAACAAATAACAGAAATATTAAGTGTATTATAATGTATTAAAATTATAATATTAAACACACATGAATGCAAAACGCCATATTCAATCAGAACAACCCTTTGTACCTAATATTTTTTGTGAATTTATCGTTAGGATTATATTTCAAGAATGATAGATAATCAGTGCACAAATTTGTTTAAGCTAGAAATCATATAAATTCTAGAAAAATTAGACGCGGAGAACAATCTTGATCAAATAACGTTTTCCCTTCATATATATTTAATTTCATCGATCGATTTTCAGTTAATGGAAATTATATATAACTTTTTCTGCTAATGATCTATATTTTATCTTTATAAATTAGGTGAAATCTTCATGGGCTGGATATTATGAATATAATACTTTCGATGAAAATGGTATTATTGGGCACCACCCTTACCATCACAATCTATTCATAGCAACTGGTTTTAGCGGACATGGTATCCAGAAGGCACCTGCAGTGGGGCGTGCAATGTCAGAATTGATTTTGCATCGTCGTTTTCTAACTATAGATTTGTCCAAATTGTGTTTCGAAAGATTCGTAACGTTAGAACCTATGAAAGAGGTTAACGTTTTTTAAATAATAAAGAAATAATTTTTATTTGATTGTCTTATGTATATAAGTATATAATAAATTTGTAAATATAATTATTACAAAACTTAAAAATTATTTAGACACCTTTTTACGAAAGATGGTCTAAATGTAGCAGTTTTATTGAAATACAATTCTTATAGTAATAGTACAATTACAGTAATGGTACAATTATTTTACAACGACAATATAAACAATAATAATAACAATATAAACGACAATATAAACAATAATAATAAACTGTACATACAGAGGTGTAATTTCACGTTTCATGTTTCACAGATAAAATTTGATTCATGTATGCTGCAGCATCTTCTTCGCCTATATTTTGTAATATATTTCTTAATTCACTGAGAGAGGTATTAGTTTGTATCTATAAAGATATAAAAATTACATAAATTCAATTGTAAATTTTAATGAGACTGAATATTCGAAAAACTGCAAAATGTGTAAAATATTCGACGAAAAAATGAGAACCTTACAGCAATATAATTTAAGAGGAGTAATGATGAACTGGACGTCTGTTTAAAGATATTCAATAAGTACTTATAATCGAAATAAAGTGCTAGTTTTCTCCATCCTTTTGTCTCGTCTAAAATGCTTGCTAAGTGCTTTTCCTGATCTGCATCAATCCAAACTTTTTGTGTGTCGTCTATATTTTCTTCTTTAATCGTGTTGTCTATTAACATATCATTCTGACCGGAGACGAGCTGTAAAAGCTGCAATAATTTTTTTAATGATAAATGTGTTGTTTATAACGATAAGACAATATGAATTTTCCATACATCTGGTTTATTTGATGCCAAGTCAAAAGACGATTGTCCGGTACTTTCTCTCATATTTTCATCTTCTGAATGCACTTCAGCTTTTATATCTTGTATTTGTTCTCCCTCAACCTATTATTAAAACAATCAAATTTAATAAAAATAAAATATTATAAGATATTATTAGATGTATACCTATAAAATGCGGATTTTTTTAAAGAAAAAACACATGTTAATTTGAAAAATTACATGCAAACGCTCGCTAACACTTTTTTGAGTCACATTTAATACTTCCGCCAATTGTGATTAAATTTGAGTGGAGTCTTCGTCCAACAATGCTTGCAACATTGCATCTTTAAATTTTTTCGGTGGTTTTCCCTTACCTTGTCTTTCACATCAGAATCACCAATTTTTAATCGATTGAACCAACGTTCACAAATGTCTTGAGATGGTGCATGTTCGTCGTAAGTTTCTACAAGTATTCGATAAATTTGAGTAACAGTTTTCTTCAAAATTAAGTAATGAATCAAAACCTTTTGCAAATGGTCTTTTTTGGTACGAAATTCGACATTTTCAAAGTAGAAAAAGACTATGATATTTACACTCTTACAATTTTCCACATGTATGGTTTTGTAGGAATAGCCAAACAAAATACTGTAAGAAATAAATTAAGATCTTCCCGTCGTAGGAAGACAATGACTTGCTAACACGAACTACTACGAGGCCCCGGCATCGCGTTTGACATTTTTTCTCGACCCTATTCTTACAATACTATATATGTCAAATCACCACGCGTAAGAACGTATGTGTGACGCCACTTGTTAGGAAAATCTGCATTTCGTAGGTATACACCTAATATATTATTGATGAGCTGTACATACGTTATTTGATTCACGATTATAATTTCTTATGTGCGGATCAGCACCGTATTTCACTAGAAGGGCACATATCTCTTTGGCTTTTGTCCCTGGTGTAACTATTGCGGTGTGCAGTGCTGTATTTCCGCTAAAGTTCTTCTTGTTTACGTTTATTTTGGTCTACTTGGAAAATTAAGAATATCAATAACACAATTTATATATATATATATATATATAAAAGAATTTTCAGCAAATATTCAATCTTACATTTTTTAAAAGAAATTCGACAATGTCTTTGTGTCCTCCTTCGACTGCTATATGTAAGGCAGTTCTTCCATAGGTCATGTCAGTATTATTTACATTTGCGCCAGCTTTAATGAGAGCGGATACTGCATGATACGAGCCAGCTTGGGCAGCTAATTGCAAGGGTGACCATCCAAAGTCCGTACTTGCTTCAATGTTAACATCTTTTTCAGCTAATAAAACATCAATGCTTCCTTCTGTTTCAGGAACTAAAATTATCATTCGCAATTGTGCATTACATTTTATCTCTACTTCTGAATCAAAATATTATGCTAACGGTCAAATTATCAATTTTTTTAAAGCGTTCAATTTAAGTACTTTTAAATTAATACATACATTTTACAGCTCTATGTAACGGCATTTGTCCATAATGATCTGTTACATTTGGATCCGCGCCAAGCATGAGTAATGCTTGTATAATTTCTGGTTGATCTTGCGAAGCAGCATAATGCAATGGAGTCTAGAATATAATTACGATATATTGAAATTTTTGTAATTAAATAAAATGTACTAGCGTTTTCTTTTTTTTAAAAGCTTACCTTTCCAGAACTATTTTGAATGTTCACCAATTCTTCGGCATCTGTATTTAGAGTGCTCATGAGCATTAAAATACGTTTTACATTGTTTCTTTGTCCATATCGGAGCGCACAGTGCAGTGGCGTATCTCCGTAAGTTGTCCTGTCTTTGAACGATATTTTAATAATATCTTTTGCTTCATGTGGCTTCATTCTCATATTCTTTATCGTGTCGATAATAACATCTTTCGCGAACAATTTGTCGTCCTGTAGAAATATAAAATTCAGACTTATAATTAACATATAACATTGATACAAATAGAAATTTCAATAATGAATGTGTTTTGTAAATAACATACAGTGAAATTAATACTTGCCTTTTTACTCGGTGCACCATCATAAGTTAACTTATCTTCACCGCCTTGGTATAACAATTTCTCGTACACTAGAAGATATAATTTGTATTCAACATAATACGTTTTGCATACATATATAACTTTTGAATATTTTTATTCATCTAAAACCGAATACTTACTATCTAAATTTATATGTTCGACAAAATCACGAAATTCACTAGAAGAACATTTATCATCTAACATCTTTTTTATTTCTTTAGATATTTCGGCACTGTCGTTGGTTGAAGGCATACTTGTTAATGGTGTGTTCATTAAAAGCATATCATTATTAAATGGTAATACTTGCGCCAATTCTGCGCTATTTGAATGAGAGACTCGCGTTCTCTTCCTACCTGCAATTATAAAATTGCTAGGAGTTATATTTAAAAAAAAATAGGAGAAAGACAAATGAAAAAAGAAAACTGAGAGAAGTATAACAGATCATAATTATGAATATTTAATATATTTGCTTATATTTGCTAATGAATTTTCTATTAATTTACCTATCATACGGTCACTTGGTTTGTATGTGAACTTGATTGGTTCTGAACAATATGAATCTGATGGACGTTCTAATTGTATAAAAACTTCTTTTGGAGAAGTGATACTTCGATCCCTGTACGGTGGAGTTCTGAAAATACAATACAGTTAATCATGCGCATTGTGAAAGAACAATAATATTTAAATGCGCTAATCACATGTAGTACATACCGAAATACCATGGCATATTGATGATGGACATCTAATTCCGAAAAACGACCATAATCAACCCAGATTTCAGTGTCATCATCATCAAGTTCAAAGAACTTTATCTTTATGTTTTCTATAATATAATGTGTTTTTTTACATCAGTGTATATGTGCATTGTCATTATAAATAAGAATATTTATAGCTAAAATACTAAAAATCGGCACTTACTTTTAGAAACTTTCTCTACAAGTATGAATACCTCTTCGCCACCTTCACAGCTACTAGTGTATTTGTCAATTCTGCATATCTTAAGTTCCCCAGTTAATGCACTTTCTATTTAAAATATTAATATGATTTCTTTAATCGTTTCTATTATTCATATAATGTTTTATACACAATAACGAAATAAAAAAAAAGTTGTATCAAGAAATAAGTTGGAATATTGTAAATCAATCATCTTATCATATTAAATTTAAAATACAATCTTAATGTAATAACTGATTATAAAGGAATAAAAGTATGTTCTTTTTCTGATTCTTTTGCAAGCAACTAAAAAAATGACAATTTTTCAGTTGTGTCATTGTAGTAAAAAAAATGAGCAATATATAATATAATACCTATAAATAATATAAGATATTCCAAAATTTGCGAATTTTTATTCGTAAATTTCGGAAATCTGTGAGTATACAGAGTATTCGGAAATGCAATTTATAATATATATATGTATGTATGTATGTATTATAAATTGTAAGAAAATCTTTTGATACACTTTCAAAACAAATTGTATTGCAATAAATTATTTAAACTTACTCAAATTATTGACTGGATTACTATAAATCGGTGCTGTAATCGGTCTCATGATATTATGTTCATCTTTAATAAATCCTTGAAAACAAAGGGAAACACTATTTAGATTTATAGTTCTTTGATATTGTTCTGCATCAGCTTTAATCTGTAATCATAGTAAACCGCTATTTAAAAACATTTAATATACTTTTTAAGATAAAAATATTAATCCAATTGTGTAAAATGATTTTCGGACTGATAAACGGCATTAGGATTTACCTGTGCATCATCACGAAGACTAAGAGTAGCGTTTATATTTAAACGTTTGCGTTCTTCTAGAGCTTCATCACGTAATTTTCGCACTATTTCGTCCTTAATATGTCTTCTCGCCGTATGTATTATGCCCATACCAATAAATCTGTAACATGAGCACAATATTGACTAAAAAAATGAAACAGGATGTTTAAACTAGAAGATATATACATACTCTGCTGTAAAATCATTTTGAGACGAAATTTCCATATAATGTGGATCCCCTATATCTATACTATCTATTCGCCTCACTAATCTATGAGCATGCGGTATTCTGAGATCTTCGTCAGTAGTAACCAATGTGCAACGTATTATTGCTTTATCCAAAAAGTTATGTAACTGAAAGTATGAATAACAACAACATAATTAGGTGTGAAGAGAGTAATTTAAACACACACACACACACAATCTTATATTAATTTTTTTACAAATCTATTTATACAGAATTCACAGTACAATTACCTTGACTGTAGGTACATTATTTTTATTCCGTCTACGTCCAGAATATACACCAAGCAAGCTTCCATGTGTTCCTACCATTTCGGACTTGTATCGAAATCTAAATTTCTCCATTGGCTGCACTAAGATACTGATATATGGTTCGCCAAGTGCTGTTACTAGCAAGTTATAAAAAAGTTTGATATATGTATTTTCCAAATATAATAAAACAACTGTCATTAATATTAGAAAAGAGTAATATTAAATTATATATAAATTAATATTATATCATATTAATTTTATAATAATAAATTATATACATAATTCAACAGATATTGGTAAGTTATATTTTAAACAATTTAAAATCAAAATGCATACCTGCATTTGTCAAATTAATATAATCATCTGTGAAATGCATAGGTGATGAAGACGTTGACATAGGCGATGTCATACTAATATTTCCTTGAGATCCAGAACTACTGAATGGACTTAGAACATCTGTACTACCCATTGATGTTAAATCTGTAAGATGCAAAATAGATGTATGTAAAATTTAATTCCTTTTAATTAATTTGTGTGTACACAAATAGATATGTTTACATTAATTAGCATTATGCAATAAATGGTTCTCACAATTTGTTTTAATAACTATACACAATACAAGGTACAAATACAAATCCATAAAGTACAGTGAATACAAAAGTTTTCATATAGGAGATATATCTTTAAAAAATTATTTTTAAAAAGTAAACATTAAATAACAATTTATTAACAAAGAATAAAATAGACTATAATTTTCATAATTTTAGCTAAAAAAATGTGTAATAATAGTTATAAAATATATTAAAAATAAAAAATGAAAAATGATACTATTTGAACATATAAAAACTAATTTTCTAACTTTTGTTTGTAGTCCTAACTTTCTCTTTGTTAATTGTTATTCTTTTTAATACCTAAATAGTACTTATTCTAAACGAATCTTTCTTTTAATATTTTTATAATAATATTTTTAGCCGATATTCATAATAAATTCTTATATTTAAAACTGTCTTTTAGGCATATATTCTTAAAATATCATAAATTAATCACAGGTTGGTATTCATAACTTGTCTTTATTTTAAGATCATCTTAAATAATGTTTTAGATGCTAATATTTTTTCTGTGATTGATTTATAACATCTTAAGACTGTCTTTTATATACAATCTGTGAATACCAGCCATATTAACATATTAAGGTATTATTTGAGATGATATTAAAATAAGAGTACACAGATATTCTCTGTCTCTCTAAGAGAATACCACTTATAAATACCGTAAAATATAATTATAAAATTTAATGTGATAAAGGAATATAATCTAAAATGTTCAAATATCCAAGCACATAGGCTTATAAAACTATATTCCGCACACTGTTTATTTTGCAATTGTTGGAAGTTTCTTTCGTATGATCTAATTATACTAGACTTAACAAATACTTGCAAAATACACATTCTGTTTAACGCAGCCACTTTCCAAAAGTTCATTTTTGGGTAACACAAAAAGGTAAACAAGTACTTATCATGATTTGAGATCGGTATACTGACAATCGAACAACAATCGGGGAGACCAGATCTAACCTAGATAAACTAGACATTCCTGATATTCCTGATTAAAAAGTAGTACAGAAACAGGACACTCTAAGACTTAAAAGTAAGACAAAAAAGGACATTTTTAATTATAATACAAAACAAAAGTAGTATATACGTGAAAGGAAGAAAAAGAGTAAACATTAAAAAAATCCGAACAATAAAAATTAAAAAACGTGTATTTAGTATTAGCAAAAAAATGGCTTTATATAATACTTAATAATTTTCAAATTTATCACAGATACATAATGATCTAATAATATAGCTTACTATGTATTTTATGTATGATGGATTCAATAGTTTCTGGTCTCTACGCTCTCTCTCTCTCTCAAAATGAGTACAAAAAAAAGTGCATGCCAAACGGCGCTGAAAACTCGGCCGGATACATTTCCGGAAAAAGTCAAACATCTGATCACCCATTTCGAACACATGGCACGCAGTCGTGCGACCAAGTGTCAGATGCCGCGATAGCGTATTATTAATGTAAGTTGTGTTAGTCGTGTGTGTGTTAACATATTTCCTGACAGTTCGGGACATAAAAAGCGCGCGTTGTCGGGGCGCGTGCTTGTATTACCATTGAACTGGAAGTACGGGTCCTCGTTATCTCCGATAACACCAGTCGTCAGTATGCTGCGCATCGCCATATTAATGTTTTCGTACACGTCTGGCATCTCTCCGATTCTCTTCACTTTGTGAATTAACAAGATGCGGTTCGAGGAGTGTGTTAAGTCGCGCGATGTCTGTTACAATCTGTCACGTGAATATCACTAAGCACCGAGGCTTGTAGAGCGACAGCCGATAGGACTCTAGGACCCAGACTCTCGTCCTGATAACACCGCGCGGTATAATACTAACTTGTTACTCACCAGACGCGCATAATCAACTGCCTTTAATTTCTGAATGCGTCAACAGCATAACCTTGACAACAGTCCTCGGTTCTTCCCCGGGACGTATCACGTGTACCGACCAATAGTGTGTCAACGCAACGCATCACGGATTTCCCGCAATTATAGGGACGTGTTCGTGTGTCGCGATGCCCCGGGAAAAGCGTGTTCCACTCTAGAAAAGTCCGCCCAATAAATGAACTAAAATGGATTGAAATTTATTTGTGTATCCGAATACATATTTTAAATAAGACTTTTTTATTTAATTGAATTCAATTGGATTTAACAGATTGGATTCAATTGGATAACAAACTGTATTTTCTATTGAGATTTTTTAATTGAGCAGTATTCATGATGCACTTAAAAAAAAGCTGATAATTTTTAGAATAAAATGCAGAGAAAAAATGTAGAACAGCTTTATTTTAATTCCTATAAATAATTAAAAATACATTGAGATTGAAAAGAATTCATTTCAATGTTTGCGAATATGTACCGAAAATCTATCCATTCAATTTTAATCTATTTTCGTTTACTGGGCCCACGATTTTAAATTTGTTTTCTTGGATCTGGCAAACAGCTCAATTTTTTCTTGATACACATAACTTTAATATTTTGCATACATCCGAAATCTTGCAAGAAACTATGAATGTTAGTAGTAGATAATTAGCTCCAATGCATAAAGCATTATTTAAGAGTCCGCACTAATAATAATATATAATTGTACTAATTGCCTTAATTTTCCTCCTGTCTCTTTCGCATCACAGTATATTGAGTTTCCCCTTTCCACACTTCTTGCTTTTTATTTCAATTTTTACAAAATATATATTTTGTTAGTTTTTATAGATAGAGGTACATTTTTATAAATTTCTGATACTTCAAATTGCCAAGTCCAAATTGCTAGAATTGATATTCATCGGTTATTATGAGAAGACAATTAGTCGACAATTAGTCGAGGCACTTGCGTGAAAAATGAATTCGATGGTTAGTTGCATTTTGATTCTCTTTTACAAGTTCTTGATCTTTTTTCGTGCTGTAATATATAACGAAAATAATTTTGATTAATTTCAATTAATAAAGTTCAATATATTTATGATTAGCACAATTAATTCAAATTAAATAGATAAAACTTTATAATGAAACTGTGCAGTAATCGATCTCTCTCTTAAGTAAGCGCTGAAAATATAGTAAACTTCGGGAAATTCCACTATATTAGATAATCGATTATTACGACGTTGAAATATTAGTTTAAAAAATTCTGAATTTTTCTTAAACAGCTTATTTTTCTTGGCATAAAATAAAATATCACGAAAAATTATTATTAACTATATGGCATCGAAAAATTTTGAAATGTAATTTCAATCTTAATAAGAAAGCTAGAGGCAGCAAAATGAATCTTTGATGTTTTAAAAACTTATTATTTATGACCGTCAATTAATTGACTATACTAAGTCATAAATAATCGTATGTGTATACTGAATAAACTTGAATACTTTCGTTTACCCTAGAGGAAAGTTCCAGAATGAGAAATTATTTAATTTTCGTGAAATAAACGCGGTTATTGATCGATTAATTCACTCGTAATTGTTACAATCATAATGTGTATTTTGTAAGATAACGATGTGACGGATATTTATGATAGTGCTGTTAGTACAGTTATATCTTGCAAGGTTTGATTAGCATATGTATGGTGGGGAGACTGATTACAAATATATATATATATATATATATCTCGATGTATGGACATCTTCGGTTATCCGAGTGTTAAATTCCATTCCGTACACGACTCGTAGAAACGCTTTCCTTGCAGACATCTGATCGATTCACACATAACAATGTCAACTAAAAATGAAAAAATTGGGATTATTGGAAGGTAATGTAATCAACTCTAATTTTGGATTGTAATTCAAATTGTTTAAAACTGCAAATTGTAATAATTGTGCAATATACATTCATCGTCTAATGCGATTGTCAAATTGTTAATTATTTTTTACAAATCAATATCAAATAACGGTAATGGATTATTAGCGCAATTACTACTTTTTAACAGAATATATTGTTCTAATAAATTTATGAATCTGTAGGATTGGTTGTATTATTTGAAAAATCGATTCTTTTTTATAATTTTAATCTTAAAAAATTATTTATGAATCGTTATACTAAAAATTGTGTTAAGTGCGTTTTTAATTGTGTTATTTTTACGACTAGAGCAGCTGTTGCTGCATAAATCACTATTTATGAAAATTAATTTATTTATAGAATGCTATAACTGTTATAAAGGAAAAGCTTTAATTTGTAAAACTGGCCTTCACAGTTGATTCTATATCAGCGGAAACTTGTTAGTTTAGAAAGGAAAATTTTTAATATTTCTACTAATCGCAATATATAGTGAGTTACAATATGAACTAAGCAAGAAAAACGCTTAATAATATATTCATAATTTAATTTTAAAGAGTAAATGTAAATGAGTGAATTAAAGTTTTTCAATATTTTACTGTATTATTATTATTAATCGGTCGATTTTTTAAGACTTTAAGTCATCAAATGACGATGTTTTACGTTTTACAAGGGCACCGAAGAAAAATTATACTTTTTTTAATTGTAACTTATACTTGTCCAAGATAAGATAACACGTGGTAAACAACTTATAGTTATATTTAACAGAATGGTACAAACACGCGAGAATACAAATTTAAAATATAATATTTATCGTAATCTGTGAGATTACAGGTTTAAAATTAAATATCGTAAGTCTCATACCTTTTCATAAAATATATATTTTATCTTTGTCTTAATATTTTAGCGGATTAATTGGACGTAGCTGGGCGATGCTTTTTGCCGGCGTAGGATACCAAGTGACTATCTATGACATTGTTCCGGATCAAATTAAGAACGCATTGGAGGATATCTGTCAGCAATTGAAACGTCTTGAAACTAGCGGTCTTCTCCGTGGTACACTGACAGCGGATCAGCAATTTAATTTGATAAAGGGTTACCTATCTCTTTTATTTTAATTTACTACAGTAATTGTTCTTATTCCTTTATTAAAAAATAATTATGTAAAATGTAATAACTGCAATAATTACGTACTGGAAGATTCAAAACAGTATCGAGTTTTTTCATCGTTGATGTTATAGGATAGCATTCTTGATGATTTTTCCAGTTTCATTTGTAACGGAATTTAATGAAGAGGATTGCTTGTAGGATCATTGGATTTAGCGGAGACTGTGAAAGGAGCAAAACTAATCCAAGAATGCGTGCCAGAAAATCTCTCGTTGAAGTCGAAAATTTACAACGATCTTGATAAAGTCGTTGATAACGAAGTAATTTTGTCATCTTCGACGTCCACGTTCCGTCCGTCTCTTTTCAGCGAAAAGCTAAAACACCGTGAACAAATTATCGTCTCCCACCCTGTACGTATTCTCACATTATGTATAATAAAAAATGTGATACAGATTTTTTCCACTAAACCTTTGTACTGTATAAATCTAGTTAGAGATTAACATTTTTAAGATTATATATTAAGTTTATAATTATAATTGATATATCTGCAGATAATAAATACTTGTTTCTTTTTCTTAAACTCAATCTTACTGACATGGCACAATCTTCTAAATAACTCAATAATTAAAAAAATCAGACAAAAAAAGTATTAATTATTTTGCATTAATATTTATTATTTGATAATTAATGTCGTAAATACAGGTAAATCCTCCTTATTATGTGCCACTCGTTGAAATCGTGCCAGCCCCATGGACACGTTCTGATATTCCTGAGAAAACAAGAGCCATCATGACAGAAATTGGTCAGAAACCAGTTGTTTTGAACAAGGAAATTGATGGTTTTGCACTCAACAGAATCCAGTATGTAATCGAATGTTTTGCTTGCACAAAACCATTTTTGAATAATTATTATTATCATTCAACTATCTCTTGACATTTCACACATTAAGAATCATGTCGACAGATATGCAATATTAAATGAAGCCTGGAGATTGGTGGCTGATGGAGTGTTAAATGTAAAAGACATCGATATAGTTATGAGCGAAGGTCTTGGAATGCGTTACGCTTTTATTGGTATGTTCGAAGCCGCGCATTTGAATGCCGAAGGTAAGTCATTAACAATCATCTGTATAACAATGAAGCTTTTCCATGGAAACGCAATTCACGTTGCAATGTATTTTATAGGAATGAAGAAGTATTGCGAAACGTATAATAAATCGATTTACGATACGAGCATGACTTTCGGACCAACCCCCAAATTCGTCGGTGAGATGGCAGAGAAGATCAGCAATGAATTGAACGAGATATGTCCGCTCGATAAATTGCAAGAGCGACGCGCATGGCGAGATACTGCCTTGACGAAGTTGTCTATGCTTAAGAAAGAGTTGGAGTAGAAAAAACAATAAAAATTTATGTATTGTACATATCCAATTGATGTGCCAACACCGAAACCATTCATAAAACAGATATGTTCACAAGGCCTCTGCAGGCAAGGTTGGGAACATTACTTCATAAAAATAACGTTATAGTTACCTAAGAAACTACAACCATTTGTTACTTCTATTAGATTTAAAAATTACATTATTTAATAATTAATATTAGAATTTAAAATTTATAGATATAATAATAAATTGGTCTCTACATATCTCAAGTTTTTATTATGTTAAATTTATATTTAAATTTTTGATAATTCTTTATATTAATATTTATATAATTTTAATTCGGCTGAATTCATTACAGTTATCATTATAGACAAAAATTCACTGTATTACATATAGATGTATCTGTTTTATAAAGGGAAGTCTTATTTTTATCAAATTAAATATAAAAGATATATCGTTTCTCCCCGGTTGTAAAAATTAAGTTAATATAAATAGCTACAGACTTTAACGTTTTCCTCCAACGCGAGGTGCAGACTTTTGCGTCACTTTAGCAACTTTCTGTTTTGCTACTTGTTTTGCTTTTGGAGGAGCAACAGCCTTCTTCGTTGCCTTTGCAGCTCTCTTTTGTTCTTTTGCAGCTCTGAGAAAAAGAAAACAAATGAATCAATAAAACAATATTATTATGATAACATTAGATAATAATATTACAGTGATTGTATGAATCCGCAAAACCAGACAATGTAATTAAAGATACAGTTCCAGGTGAAGAATTCAGTTATTCTAAGACATTCTGAAATCTGACAAAGCAAAAGAGGTCTTGTCAGAGGAACAGATGTCTATTGTATGTAGTTTATTTTCGTGTAAAATACAGAGTGTACCAGTTTTCAAGTACATTAATTCTATTAAGTTTTCTCTTTTTCTAAACACCTTCATTACTATATATCATGAATGAGCATATAAATTTCACAGTTCAGTTGACTAACTTTAAATCATTGTCATTTAATAACTATTGTAGCCTCGACCTTAGTATTACAATTTTTTTTCAAAATAATCTCAGCAATCTACTATCAATAGGTATCTTGCAAAGTTTAGGACCTCCTATATATTTACCAAATTAATTAGTTTAATAATAAAAGGTCATTCACATTGCTTGAAATTCTCAAGAACATTTGTACTCAAAATCAAACAAACATACATTTAAGCATCAAAGAAAAAAAAGCAAACATACACTGAATAAAAAGAAAACAATGAGATAGACACCTATTGTTATACTCTAAATTATTTTAAACCAATTAATTTCTTAACAAAAAAATAGAGATAATTGAAAGAATATATACTTGATTGCCTGTTCTCGTTGGGCTTTGCGAATCTCTGGCTTCATGTTACGTTTAGCCAAAATATCGGTGAGAGAAGCACCCACGATAGCACGCTGGAACTTCTGTGCACGCCTTGTCCTCTTCTTGGTTTGCTCCTCCTCCTGACCCTTTTTGTGTTTACGTCTGAGACAAAAACAAATTACGATTCCATTAATAACAAAGCTCGAGAAATCACACACTGGTTTCACATATATTTTTACCTGTATAAAACGGTCCATGTCACTTTCCTAGGATTTCGCCTCATCAAGTGTGCGGACTCACATTTCGAGTTGAGGAAGGTGAAAGTCTAAGGAAACGAGACTATTGGTCACGCCAACACGTGCGATAATAGATAATTACACAAATACAGGACGCGTCGCGACACTAGTGAAACGTAATGGAACAATGATCTATGATTATCCGACTTATATTATTATTTTGTCGACATTACATTGGCGTCTCAGCGGTACTCACCTTTCCGTCAACTTTGACCATGGTCTTGCCATGACCAGGATAAATCTTGTACCCGCTGTACGCGCACAGGCCGATCCTGGAAATATCAGACGTGAATTAATTACCGACATCATGTTGGCGCGTTGCACGGTATTTCTCTCCTTGATACAATGGGATTGTACCAAAAACATTGGATGTATATCTCTCACACTAACTAGAACTTACTTCATCTTGAAACGATGCAGAGAAACGCGTTCCACAAAAATGGCCGATCGGCGATCTTCTCATCAATTCCTAGGACATGCGCAATTGCGTAGTGATCTGAATTGGCGCATTCAGCGGACTCAACAGTTGAGTGAGCGTTCGCTATTATTGGTGTATTCTTCCAGATCTAAAATTCTGATTGGATGATCTAAAAGAATACACCAATAACAGCGAGCGCTCACTCAACTGTTGAGTCCGCTGAACGCGAGAATGAAATGAGCAAATAAAACGCCATTAGGTCTGGTTCGTGTTGTTTGCACTTTCTCTCTTTTTAGCATCCGAGGATGTATATTGTATATTCATCTCGTTTTAAGTATAAAAAATTAAGCAATTTCAAGCAACACAAATGAACCTCCTGGTGTTAAATATATAAGGTGAACCATTCCTGTAAATACGCACGAGAGTGAATTTAGGTTTTTGATTAGCTGTTCCAGGATACTAGCCCTATGACAAACAGGAAAATGCATTTGGATACAAATTTTATTAATTATTTCTGTTACGTTGCTTGAAATTCCCAAAAATTTTTTAACTTGAAATGAGATATGGCTCCTGCAAACAGAACGCGGCTTGCCGCGCGAACAGGTGTTCCAAATCATAATGGATAATGTGAGATATTGCGCATGGAGGGGTTGCTTGAAACCAATTCAACCAATCAGTTCTGGCCCATTCCGAGAGGCGCGTATTACACTATTGTAGGCCACATAATTTTGAACATTGGGCCAAATCTGATTGGCTTACTGCTCCCTACTACTTTTGTACCTACTTCTTTAAAAAAAATATGTATACAAAATGGATAATTTTTTAAATACGCAACTATGTGTTTTCTTTACACCATTTGACTTATCTCATTATTCTGTTCACAAAAGTATTAAGGTACGATAAACAAAAAGTCAACAGTTTACGAGTTATTTAACATTTTTTGTGTCAATATGTATCAAAATAAAGTGTAAAATATCTCGAAAACTATTGGTTTTTTGGTATCTCTACCTTAATACTTTTATATACAAAATAATTAGAGGAGTCACGTTATCTAAAAAAAATTACATAATTCCATTTAAAAAAGTGGAGGTGACCTTCATATCTTTTTAGCGCCTCCACTTAGAAAAAAAACAATGTGACTAAAACGTATCCCCCTAGACACCGTTCAATTTTTTTTAAAAATATTTTTTCGTATTGTCAAAAATAAACGAAATATTCAAGATGTGTAGGATTTAAGTGGACCACCCGATATATATATGTGTATATACATGATATTGTTTAAATATTATGTAATTAATTTATTTTATCTGTGTAATTACTAATTTAAATAATAAGCGATTAAAGAAATGTAATATATATTTATACATATATATATATGTATATATATATATCTACATGATATTGTTTAGATATTAATTTATTATCTGTGTTATTACTAATTTAAATTTAATAAATACTTTATATAATATTAGTTTGAAATGTTATTTTCTAAAAATATATTTAAAATATTTCTTATTCCCTTCTCTCTCTTTATTATATATTAATCACAGACATAGAGAATGGACTGCGCGATCCGTGTGTCAAAATGGTCAACGAAAATGAGAGAGAGGGACCGTGGAAGACGGCCATCTCCCTCTCATTCTCTCTTCCATTACACCATCGAATGGAAAAAGATAGAGATGGCCATCTTCCACGGACTCTCTCTCTCATTTTCATCGACACATATTTGATAGTTTGATACTACTTTAGATACGGGATCGCGCAGTCCATTCTCTATGTCTTTGATATTAATATATAAAATTATTAAATAGAAATTTTTTATTATTCAAATATTTTATTTTGAACATAATATTTGATAATTTTTTATCCATTTCATTGCTGTCGTGTAAATGATTTATTGTTTTTAGCTTTATTTATAAATTCACTGTTTATAAATAAACAAAAAATATTTATAATAAAAATTTATAGAGAAACATCTATAAATAAACGGAATAATATTTAGAGAGAAATCTAGGGTTTTTTTCAGTCTCAGTCTCCTGAGAGAGATTTAGAAAGAATACTGTTTTAGGGGAAAGTCGATCTGGGAAAATGTATATATCGATTTAGGGGAAGGTATCTGGCAAAACTGCCTTAACCACGTGGTGCGTGGGAGCCGCCATATTATAATCGGAACATTATTCGATTCCGTAAGCGTGTAGTTAAATAAAAGTTGTTTCGAGACTAATGGCGAATTCGACTGGATGCACTAGTGCGCACTGAGTGCACCTGAGTTCATCTTTCTTCCTTTTCTTTCCAGGAGAAGGGAAAAGGAAAAAAGATGAACTGGTGCAATCACACTGCACTGGTGCAATCCAATCGAATTCGCCATAAGATTGGAATATTGTAATAATAACCACGTGCAACGAGTGTCGGAGAAAAAATGTCGGGCGCGTGCCGGGATTCGATCACGAGATCAACTCAATCCAAACATTAGCAAGCCAACGTCTTGCCGTGGAGCCACACAGCCCGACGGGAACGGAGAAAGTAAGTAAATAAATATAAGAGTATATATATATATATATATATATATATATATATAATTA